AACACAGAGTTGATCCGCCACCGCACCAACCATGCAGTTAAGTCAACCGAGCTCTATGATACTGGAGAAATACTTTCTAGACTGTGAAACAGATGGAAAGGTAATCTTCAGAACCAGGACATAAATTAAAGTAAATATATCTAAACTACAAAATGTAATTTAATAAAACTTAACAACAATGTCAAAACTAAAAAAATTTAGATTCAGCAGTCGACCAACAAACCAATATCAAAAGTTAAAAGTGACCTTCAATTCTATGCACAAAAGAAAAGTATTAAATCTAGATATTGTAACAATTGACCTATAAAATATAATAAACGTAAAAATATTATTATTATTGTTTATGCGTTACAGCAATAATATCGATTACGTGCAATAAAAACCATTCTTTACATTCTCCATTACAACATGGCGGATGGCGGCAAGGTGACAACCATTTTGCGATCATGGATTATAGAAATCCAGAGTACACACTGTTTTTACAAAGTGGTTAGTTTTTTTTTAAGTAACATGTCGGTACAATGTAACAGTGCGGCCGACGTATCTTGGCGAGTCTGAAGTTAGCCGTTTGTCTGCGCAATGGATCTTTTAGGAACAAAATTGTTTACTGCGCAGCTAATCGGCTAACTTCAGACTGGCCAAGATACGTCGGCCGCACTGTACGGACAATACGATTGTTATGTTACACAGTGTTAAGTGTGGGATAGCGATACTTGCCACAGTGATAACCGCTTAAACAACGACAGCGTTTTGTTTCATCGTACTCTTAAACTTCTATAGTGTCTAAGGACGTCGCTGATTGCTTACTATCAGGCACCCAAAGTTTGCCATCCTATCACTTAAAAAAATACAAATACAGTAATAATATTTTAATGTTATCTTTTAATTACCTTCTAAATAATCTGAGGACTGAGGGTTTATATATTTGATAGCTGGATAGCAGGGCTCATAATAAGCTTTCTTTCTTTTTAATAAAACGTTGCCCCACACTAGGATTTTCTCATGTATCGTGGGTGCGTTTACAAACATACAATTTCACATACACATCACACCCAGACCCGAAACAACAATATGTGGATCACACAAAGAGTAGTTCCGTGCGGGAATCGAACCCGCGACACGTTGCGCAGCAGCCAGTTGCCCAGCCACCGCGCCAACCGTGCAGTCAAATCAAATCATCCTGAACTTTTTAAACAGTGATCTTTAACATCCTTATTAATCATTGACTATGTTAGACCCCCGTCATGTAATAGTCTGTCAAAGTTAGTCAGTCAGTGGAATGTCAACAATTGTTAGGTGTTTTAGTAATAAGAGAGATTTTTGACACTGCCAAACTTTACATGTCTACAAGTAAACAACAAGTACGAATTAATTTATTAAAGACTTCTATAAACTTCATTCTACCAAAAGATGGCACTCCATACATTTATAATCCATCTTCCCGCCAAAACATTGACATTTATGATAAACTGTCATTTTGACAGATAAAACAATATGGAGTCGTGCTTTTAATTTTTGGTAATGTTACTAATTGGTACAGCCTTGACATTAATTATTACAAATTATAATTACTTAGTTGTTTGAATTAACCGAATAGAATTTGTCTGAATGTTAATACTATTATTAAGTTTAGACTATTGTTTTTATACATGTATATTAATTAATTATCATAAGTACTTAGGTTTTCCCTATTTCTAGGGAGTAAAGTCTGCCTACCCCAAATACTCAAAATTCGATAAAGAACCAGAGTCACCGACATGGCTCTTAAAATCTGCAAGCTGAAGTGGCAATGGGGAAACCTGGACTTATAATTTCTAATAATTATTTTGATATCGCTAAACTGTCTCAAAAGCGAGCGTGGTGGTGTGTGAAGAGGATTTTGTTTAGCAGTGGGCACTTATAGTAGGATGATGTGATGTTATAAATGTTGATAATTAAACACGGGTGGTGTTTAATTATCAACATTTATAATAATTCGGGATTCGCGTAGCAGAGATCTTCGGAGACCGTTCATTATCATCATCATCAGCCTGTTGTCGTCCACTGCTGGACATAGGCCTCCCCAATTGCACGCCACTGAGCTCGATGTTCAGCTCTTCTCATCCAACCACTGCCAGCCACCCTGCGGATGTCGTCAGTCCACCTAGCTGGAGGGCGCCCTACACTACGTTTGCCTACACGTGGTCTCCACTCTAGAACACATTTACCACAGCGGTCATCGGTTCTTCGACAGATGTGACCTGCCCACTGCCACTTCAGTTTGCTAATCCTTTGGGCTATGTCGATAACTTTAGTTCTCTGCCGGATCACCTCGGAGACCGTAGTCAGCCATAATCTCATGTTTTCTTAAAACCTTATTGGCAGAAGACTACAAAAGAAATTAAAATACCTAAACGAAGAGTTTTTAAAAAGAAAATGTTATCGTCAATGTCAGGATGACGGCGTCGCTACACAAATTCTAAATTAATATTATATTATATTATTTATATAGTTTTTATATTATCCAGATATATATTTATACAAATCAAATTATATATACTTATTTGAAGAAATTGTGTGTTTTTAGAGTTTTTTAAACGATCAATTTTTATGCAAATTATTGTTGCCACATTTTTATTTTATAATGTGAGTATCTATAAAATTGTTATTTATAGAAGGATCTTTGACCAATAGTCCAATCCTCCACCTCCCCCATCCCTTCCCAATCGTTAAAAATCCCAAACCCTTATCCCTAAAAGGCCGGCAACGCACTCGTAACTCCTTTGGTGTCCATGGGCGGCGCTGATTGCTTACCATCAGGTAATACGTCTGCTCGTTTGCTAGAAATCTAGGACTATCTAAGGTATACCAATAGCCAGAGCTGTGACGTGATTGGCCCACTGCTACTTCAAGTTTTAATGTGTGGGAGAGCCATGCTTCGGCACGAATTGGTCGGCTCGACTGGAGTGATACCATGGCCTCTCAGAAAACCGGCGTGAGCATTCTCCTACATTACATCTTTGAAAAATGGATTATGCGGCACAAAAGGAATTGTTCAATACGATGCAGTAATTCCGGAGATAAGCGCATTCAAACAAACACTTTATAATGTGGATGGATAAAATATTTGTCATTTAAATTATTTATAACTGCCCCTTCTGTGCGTGGGTAAATGCTGATACTGAATTTGTCCTAACTTTAATAAATGTTATTATACATTTAACCATTTCTCTTCAATCGCTCTATTTGTTGAAAAAGCCGCATCAAAATTCGCTGCGTAGTTTCAAAGATTTAAGCATACAAAGCGACTTTGTTTTACTAGTGATTGAAATTAGGGGTCACGTAAGTTGTAATAGATTCTGAAATGTGACGACGTCACTTCCATCAACCCATTGCACTACCCCCTACATTCTATTCAAACTAGCAGACGGCTTACCTGATGGTAAGCAATCAGCGCTGCCCATGGACACCCGCAACAACATAGGAGTCACGAGTGCGTCGCCGATCTTTTGGGGATTAGGGATTTAAAGATTTTTTTATTAGGGGGGGAGCTTTATATGTGACGTAATTTATGTCATCATCATCATCAGCCGGATGACGTCCACTGCTGAACAAAGGTCTCCTCCTTAGTTCACGTCGAACGACCACTCGCCACCTGCATCCATTGGCTCCCCGCGACTCTAAAAATGTCGTCGGTACACCTAGCGGGAGGCGTAATTGTACCTACGTAATTTATTTATAGCATTTGATAATGGTTAATGATTTTTCCAGGCAAATAACTCTCAGTGAGAACTGGCAGGGCTGTTATAGGCCGGACCTGTACAATTCACTGCTCCGAGTGCTTAAAATGACCGTAAGTATCAAGCATTCTTTATTACATAAGGGGGGAAAATCATCAAATGACTTCTCACACTTTGATTAGGCAAGATTGTCAGACTCTTAGTGAATAAAAATCAGCAGGTAAGTTCTCCTGTTCAGGGCTAAGACCGCGAAACATGGACAGCATAATATAAGGTACTAAAGAAAAGAAAATTATACATCATCTGCCCTTAAAATGCCCTGTAGGCTGATAGGTATTCTAAGATATATAAGAAGTGGAATTTCTTTGCCGGAGTCTGAGTTCCCTGGATCTTCCCTGGATCTGAGATACCTGGGTGTCTTCGAAACCTAGGTGAACATTTTTGAATAGTTACTATCGTGTGACATAGGTAATAAATAAAAAAAATACGACTTACTCAAGTGAAAAGTTTTTTTTTTCTTATTCGCAAATAACATCTGCTGATTTATTTCGTTGCGGGATCCAAGACAGTCATTGATATCCCTGGGACGCTCCGGACTTCAGTGTTCCGGAGTTTTCATGGTTGTATAATGTTGTATCTACTGTAGATCCTGGTGCACAGGAGTTGCAGCGGATTTTGACGGTTGGGGCGGGCTTGTCCAAATTAAAAAAAAATACTAAAGTGAATTCACTGCGGAAAGCTCTTAGTTTCAAGTCGAAACAAGTCGAACGCTTATGAATAAAAGTCCCGTTGTGACTTGACACTAGTCGAGCTTTTCTCAATTAATTCACGTGATTTTTTATACTCGAGTCAATAGGTGGTTTATTGATAGTAGGAGTATAGTGATTACCACCAGTCGAGATAGCAGCCAAACGCTAGCCACATTTAAAAATGTCTTAACTTTTTTTTTTTACTTGCAATGAACTAGTGCTTGACTGCGATCCTACCTGATGGTAAGCAGTGATGCAATCGTTGATGGTAAGGCGCACTAGTTTATTAAGAGCCTATTCACTCTAGCCTTGAAGACACCTAAATTATATTTTGACGGAAAGACAGCAGCCGGCAAACTGTTCCAATCCCTCGATGTACGCGGTATAAATGACGAGGCAAAACGCTTAGTCCGGGCCGCAGGTGTCTCAACAACGTAAGGGTTGATATTCGCCGTACGCCGTAACATGCATAAGTTTAACCTTTCTCCTGCCAAATTCCAGCACATACCTCTTCAATAGCAGTGAAGCTACAATGGAAGGGGATGGTGAGGGCATGGTGGCGATAGTCCAGGGGCTGGACTCCGCTGGAGTTACCCTGACGGTGGTGAATAGGACTAGACAAAACCCAGACAGGAGAAGGTCATCTAGGCCTAGGATACGTAAGTAAATAATTGGTTGCAATAGTTTTTTCGGACGAACTTGTGCATTGTGAAGCCATGTTTCTTTAAGCTTAATTATATCTTCAGAAATAGCTAGATAAATACATTTTGCTTGCAAATGAATTGGAAAATCACTGGTTGGAAGTGAGAGAGTAATTTTTTATAAAATTTATTGCATTAAAATTCTCTCCTATTATGATATTAATCCGGTTTGCTTTGGGACTGCTCAACATGTCATGCCCGGATAGACATAAATATAATATATAAAATACAATGCTATTTTTCGTTTTAATGTTACGACTCAATAATGCCTTTACCGATATGGCTAATTTCGGTCTTGAATTATTGGTGGAAGTCCAGAGAAAGTTTTTTACGTTAAACAAAATCTTGAAAACGTGTAAAATCGACATCCACGCGGACGGAACCACGGGCAACCGCTAGTTTATACATGTAATATTGAGACAACTTTTACATATATAAAAGACATGTAAAGATTGCTTAGATTTAATTACCTAAACCGATAGACTAGGAAACATATTGTTTTAATAACATGATAGTTGTATTACGATATCATCGAACTTGAGCCTGGTGATCTGTAGCGCAGGCTTTACAACAGACAAAAGTATCTGATTGTATCACCAAAATAATTTGGGATTGTAGTATTGTTGACGTTATCGAAACTTCCAAACTAATATTATAAATGCGAATGTAACTCTGTCTGTCTGTCTGCCTAAACTACTAAACCGATTTGTGTGAAATTTGGTACAGACATAGTTTAGGATAGTTTTAATACCAAAAATCTGCAGGAAGTCACTATTCCACGCAAACGGAGTTGCGGGCAAAAGCTAGTTAAAAAATAAAAATATTATCATGAATCGATACCATTAAATATAGAGTGTGTTATCTATTTTTACATTTGCTTTCTTTGTTTCTTTTCAGAATTCGATCAGGTGAACCCGAATTCCCCGAGGTCTTCTGTGCAGACCAGCACTGAACGCACGAGGAAGTCCGACACTGGAGTGCAGATCTGTGATGGGAGATACGCTAGTAGCTATAAGGTAACATTAATAGAATTTCCTGATATCTCTGAGAAGAAACACTGAAACAAAAGTGTGGGATAGCCAAGTTTTGGCACGAATGGGACCCTTACAGAAGACGGGCGAGAAACAACCACAACGTTATGTTTCGCCGTTTGAGTGAGGTTACCGGAGGGCCCATTCCTTCCCCTCCCCATCCCTCCACAAATAAAAAAAATGTGATACGCTGGCAAACGAGCATACGGATATCTGATAGTAAGCAATCGACTCCGCCCATATGGAGAACCGCAACAACTGACATACAAGTGCGTTGCGGGCATTGTGGGGATAAGGAGTTTTGGGGATTCAAGAATTGGGGAGGGAAAGGACCTCCTAAATCCTTAGAAACAAAAGTGTATGTGATTTTCTGTTTGTAAATGCACCCACGTTTGCAAAGGCAAAAATCCGAATGTAGGTACGGAAAAAGTTCGAAAAGTCCTGGAATTTGTAAAGCGATCTATGTAAACAGCTCGTGCATGATATATAGAATTCAAACTATTATTTTTAACGTGGCGATCCATCTTTTTCATGCGCTCCTGTTGTGACAATATCAGAATAGCTACTGTTATATACCAACGCGCAAAAAACCGATACAAATGCGCAAAAGACGCGCTGGACAAAAACGCGCATTGTTACATAATTGCACATTTCCGCCACCACTTCTAAAAGACGGGGAAATACGCAGTCATTTATAAAGACAAAACGAAACTACAAAAACTATGTAATAGGTTAAGTTATCATGAAAAAACGACGAACATAATTATCTTCATACATTATTTTTTACAGATGGCACATTGCATGGTTAGTCCGACTTCCCCGCCGGAGGGAGTGTCGGAGTTCCCACCGCAGAGAAAGAAACCATGTCGCAGTAAGTCGAGTTTTTACTTCAGCTATAATGCCAAGAGACCATCCGAGGTTGCAGAGTAAGCGCAATGAGGCACTGCGGCCTCAGACAGTAAGAGCCATACGCGACGATTATCACACCTCGAAAAACAATGAAATGCCATACGACATCCCCCGCTGGGCCTTTCCCAGACCAGCGCGCGCCTAAAAGAGCCAATAGACCACTACAGATGGGGCCCTATGGGGCTGATGTTCAGCCGGAGTTGGGGGGTAAGCGCAATGAGGAACCGCGACCTCGGCCCAGAGCAGGAGAAGTCATTTGATAATTTTCCCCTCACAAAAAAAATCGAGTTACTTCCAACAGCATCCTCAGCGCATTATTATATTGAATTAATGCGTATATCCACAACGGCAACCCCCGAGGAGTTGGCAGCCATTTTATTTTTGATATTCTTTTCCACAGATCAAGGAAACTTTGAGGTTGGTGGGTATGCTAAGACCAACTCAAAGTTCCGACTCCACAACGGATGCCAAGTCAAGGCTGATAGAAGCAATTTTTGTGAGTATATGTTCATTGTTCTTCCTGTTATGGTGGAAATTTCGGCAAATAACAAAATTGGATAACCAAAGGACTAAAACAAAGCTGCAAAACAAAAAGAACATTGCGTTACCTATACTATAAAAATAAAAATTCTTATAATAAAATTACATATATAACGTATTCTAACTTACTAAAAAAAATTATCTACAATTCTAAAAAAAATGCTAATATTAAATTTATAAATAACAGTGATAATAAATGTAGAGCTACCTGGTCTGTAGTAAAAAACGAAATTATAAATAATAATAACAAAGATACCATAGATAGTATTAAATTAAATAATGTAACAGTTACAGATCCTGTGGAAATAGCATCAGCTTTTAACAACCACTACATCAATCTGACCAACAAAAATATAACTACTGATGACAACTTACATGACAAACACGGCAGTTGTAAAAATCAAGCCTCTATGTTTCTCACACCGGTATCAATGAATGAAGTTAGAATGGAAATTATGTCGTTAGTCAATACTAAATCCGAAGGTTATGATGAGTTAAGCACCAAAATAATAAAACTATGTAATGCTGAGCTTCTAGAAATATTAACTTATTTAATTAATTTGTCGTTTTCATCAGGAACTTTTCCCGAGTTATTAAAATATTCTATTATTAAACCACTTTTTAAAAAAGGGGAAAAAGATCTTATAACTAATTACCGCCCCATTACCCTTATACCAATTCTATCAAAAATTTTCGAAAAGTGTATGTACAAAAAACTTATCAACTTCTGTGACAAATATAATATCATTAGTAAAGATCAATATGGTTTCCAAAAACACAAATCTACTTCATTGGCAATATTTACTTTGATGAACACAATACTTACCAATATTAATAATAATAACTTAACCACTGGACTATTTTTTGACATGTCAAATGCCTTTGACTTAGTATCACATAACATACTAAAGTATAAACTGGAGGTATATGGTATAAGGGGTCTTGCTCACGATTGGATATCATCATATCTAAGCAACCGACAGCAGCGGGTTATGGTTACAAAATTAGGCAAAAATAGAATAATGACATCGTATACATCTGAATATAAACCTAATAAGTATGGGGTGCCCCAGGGTAGTATCTTGGGTCCCATATTATTTTTAATATACATTAATTCCATCACAGAGGTAACTAGTCAGAAGTGCATACTATTTGCCGATGATATTTCCATTGTAGTAACATCTGCTAAATCAATGTACACCATTAACGATCACGAAAAGGAAATAAATAATACAATTGATAAGTTAGTAAATTGGCTAAATACAAATAATTTAAAAATTAATTTAGACAAATCCGTATACATACAGTTTAATAAATCCAATAACTACAAAAACAACTTTAATTTAAATATACAAAAAATCTGCGAAGTGGAACAAACGAAATTTCTGGGTGTAGTTATAGACCAAGACATGAACTGGAAAGGTCATGTAGATCAGATCTCCAAAAAAATTAACAAATTTGTTTACGCACTTAAAAGCATAAAAAATGTAACGAACTTCAAAACGGCCATCATTGCATATCACGCCTACGTAGAGTCCATAATTAGATATGGTTTAATATTTTGGGGCAATGGCACGGACCAAAATAGGGTATTTGTTACACAAAAAAAGTGCATTAGAGCCATGTACGGACTTAAACCTGACCAATCCTGTCAACCCGTATTTAAGGAACTTGGTTTATTACCCCTACCATCACTTTACATATATGAAATTTGCATATTTGTTCATAAACACAAACATTTATTTAAGTCCATTAATGATTTAAATCAACGCAATAGAAGAGACCCAAATAGGCTCGTACTTAGTGATGTACCCCGGCTTTCGAAATATGATAAAAGCTGTTTAGCTATGACCGTTAGGATTTACAATAAAGTACCTAAACAATTCAAAGTGTTAAATTTAAGTAGGTTTAAGAAAAAAATGTATAGTTGGTTGAATACTCATAATTTTTATAGTATTAAGGAATATATGGATCTCAAACTCTGAACCTCTATAGTTATGATCTCAATTTATGTATATGTTTTGTGGATAATGTTTAAGTAATTTGTATAGGCAGTTAATCTAAGTTAGTCTAAGTAAAATTTCCTTAATTAACCTAGATTGTATAGTAACAAATATTTGCATGCTATGTAATGGCTAAACATGCTGAACTTTATTATTTGTAACATCTTATTCCACCATGTATTAATGCAAATAAAGATTATTATTATTATTATTATTAATTACTTAAAGAGAGAAAAGAATTAGATAAAGCTTTTTTGTGTTTAGGGACGGGGACGGGGTCTTCTGTCACATTAGATTGGAACTTCTGTTACATTAACTGGAGGGCTACCGCACAACAGTTCTGTTGTATGTTAGGGATCTTATAACAATTAAAGATGGCACACAAACTATATTTTCATGATAAAGGACGCGTGAAGATTAATTATCAAACTATTCTTCTGAAAACGAAACCACTTTTCTCTCTAATAAATAGCTTTGTTCTGTTGATCCCATTTTAATAGGAACGCTTATCACTTCTCTACATCACCAAATCTCCAATCTCCAGGTCTACTTCGCCGCAGCTGGTCTAGCCGACAAACAGAAGCCTTCGTCCACTCCTTGAGAAAGTACCCGTCGGTGACTGGCAGGACTGTCTCCACCGACCTCATTGAGAGGCTGTTGAAATATACACAGAGTATGAATTGTATGTATCTGAAGATCTTTCTTTTTTATTATTGTATAATCATTATTCCAGTTAAATCTCGAAGAATTTGTCTTACGTGATATGATGAAAACCAATCGCCCATGGACTCCCGCAACATCAGAAAAGTTGCAAGTGTATTGCCATCCTTTCGGGGATTAGGGATTTGAGGGTTAAGGAATTAGGGATCGGGGAAGAGGCGAGGAAAGGACTGAGCCTCGAAACAGCGCTGTTAACCTGGTTTTTCTAAGGCCGAGGCATCAGTCTGCTCGAGCCGAGCCATTCGTCCTGAAGCGTGACTCCCACATTTTTAATGTATTTTGTGTATATGGAACATTTAATTTTAACTTATGTAGTGTGGTGATCTTTGCACAGTAGTGGGACAGTAACAGGCCGATGATGGGCACCGGATTTTATCGATCCACTGTGGGAGAAATTACTATAGGGCTTTTTTTTAGTTATCTGACTTCAGATATTATTAAAGCAGCTAATGCGCCATTGAACGAACGGCCTTAATGACAAGCCATTTAGCTAAAATGCCTTTTTTTTTTTTTTTTTTGGTGTCGGGTTGGAAAATCCTCATGGAGACCCATCCCCTCGGGGAAGGGCGAAGGGTACTGTCAGACTCTTACTGACTAAAAACCAACCCGGTGTTCCTCCACTTACCCATGTGTCGGAGGGGCGGGTATCGCCGAAGCATTCGTCGCAACCCCCCGACGGGTGTTGGCCCGCCAGATGGTAAGGCGGGCCCCGTCACCCACTGCGGCCGTCACCCCGACCGCAGGACTCCACTATGAGGCGCACGCGGAACACGGCGCCGCCGCCTCGAGGCCTGCTGCTGGTCGGACGACAAGACGCCCCGAGTCTGTCGTCCGCAGGCCGCGCCCTACGGTGGCCGCAGGTCGGCCACCCTACGACGTCTAGTGCGTCTGCTGCGGGAGGGAAGAGAGGAGGCAGCCTCTCTCTCCCTTTCCGCCGCCTCCTTTGCGAGCATCACGGCCTCGCAGAAGGTAGCGACGGTACTCCACCCTGATTCGCTCCCGACCATAGTAGACACTACAGCCGGAAGCGAGAGATTTCCCGCAGCACCTACGGCCGCGACCAGGTCACGACGCTGCTCGGCCCAAGCTGGGCACTCCGCCAAGGTATGCAGCGCCGTATCGTCGCGGCAATCACCACAGTGGTGGCACTGAGACGTCGGCTCCCGACCTATGCGACACAGGTACTTCCCGAAACACCCGTGTCCGGTAAGCACCTGCGTCAGCCGGAAGCTGAGAGCGCCGTGGCTCCTAATGAGCCACTCCTCTAGAACGGGCCTTACCGCCTCTATAGCGGCGTGCCCCGCCGTGGGTTGCGCTAAGCGCGTCTGCCACTCCGCCATTAAGGTCTGGCGGAGTTCTGCCCTGCGTGCCTCAACCTGTCGAGGCACCAGGCGCTCGCCCCGCTCGATTGCCTCCGCGCGCCACCAATAGAGCGACGCGAGGAGTTTTGCGTCGAGGTCCCAGGGCGGGGATCCGGCTAGGAGGCTCGCTGCCTCAAAGGAGATCGTACGGTATCCCCTGATTATCCTGACGGCCATCGCGCGCTGTGGCCTTCGCAGCGCGGCGATGTTGCGGGCCGTCAGGGCGTCCGCCCATACTGGCGCAGCGTATAACGCCATCGACCGTACGACCCCCATGTAGAGCCTCCGGCAGGAGGAGATGGGCCCCCCCTGGTTGGGCAGCAAGCGCGACAGCGCAGCAGCGGCGCCCATCAACCGGGGGGCGAGCCGTGTAAAGTGCGGCCCGAAATTCCACCGACTGTCGAGAACGAGTCCGAGGTACTTCATCGTGGACTCAACAGCGATGGAAACCCCTCCTACTATAATGCTGGATCCTTGAGGCGGCCTCATCCTCGGCCCATGAAAACACAGGGCCTCCGATTTGTGCAATGCCACCTCTAAGCCCAGCCGCCGGATCCTACCCACGACGTGCGCGACACCAGCAGTCGCGCGTATGGCCGCCTGCCGGTACGACTTTCCACGCGCTGTAACTAGCGTATCGTCGGCGTAACAAATGACACCGACGCCGTGGAGTAGCGCACCGCGCAGAGCCCAGTCGTAGCCAACGTTCCACAAGAGCGGACCCAACACCGATCCCTGCGGAACGCCGCACGACGTCTCTCGCCGACCCCATCCTTCTCGACCCGGGTACACCACCGACCTGTCCGACAAATAAGCCCCGACAATGCGTTGGAGGTAGCGTGGCACCCCGTGATACCGGAGCGCCTCTCGGATGGTACTCCAGGGTAAGGTGTTGAAAGCGTTAGCGATGTCGAGCGACACCGCCAAGACCACCTCACCCCGGGCGACTGCCTCCTCCGCCAGGACCTTTACGCGCATGATAGCGTCCACCGTGGAGTAGCTAAAATGCCTGTGTTAATCCAGGGTATCATCACCTATCTACATACAAAATTTCAACATCCATACATTCTCACAGACTTTCACATTTAAAATTAGTTGGATTAAACAGGCTCGACAGTTAATTGAATGGCTTACACCCGGTTTCTGAAAGGCTTGTCAACGCTAAAATTAACAAATCTCCTGTTAAATCTCTTGTCATCTGATTGGTTGTTGATAATTCAGTCAAACAATCAGATAACATGACAAGGGATTCAATTGATTTTAAAATTGATCGACCTTTCGAAAACCGGGTGTTAGTTGGCTTATTAATTGAATGGCTTAGATGGTTGAAAGCGACAAATATACCGAAATAACTTACATCATCAAGCGTTTCAACAGCATCTAGAACAAGACCGTCAAGGAGCATGAGATCCTTACACGAAGACGCCTCTTCGGGTCTTCACGACAGCTCCAGGGTATCGAAACATCAGCAGACATATACGAGAAGACCGAAAGACGGACCGACCGGTCCTATAGGATACAAGGGGAGGTCCAGAAACTTCAGGTTGTACTCACCTGTGAGTGAGTGTAGACATGTCAGGTAAATAAAAGATCATGGTCTTTGTATACCTTGGGTGGGAGGAGGTGTATGTGCAGATTAGTCAATTGTCAACCGGAAAACGTAGTGTGGGCGGGCCTCCCGCTAGGTGGACCGACGACATCGTCAGAGTCGCGGGGAGGCAATGGATGCAGGAGGCAACTTGTCGTTCGACGTGGAGAGCTAAGGGGGAGGCCTTTGTCCATCTGTGGACATCTTCCGGCTGATGATGATGAGTCAATTGTCACCAAGTCTAATGGAGGGAAAGGGGGGAGGAGCCGATTATGGGACTTCGTATTTCTGGGGTTGCAGGTCAAGCGCAATAAACTGCCGCGGCCCGGGTGGGGAGAACTCATTTGATTTTCCCACCTTAGAAACAAGGGGGAAATTATCAGTGATAGTGGTAATGTGTGAGATCAGGTCTTTCCGAGGGTCTAAATAGCTGACTATCAGACTAGCCATTGAACAGAGACTGGGCAGCAAAGCTCTATAATAAACCTGGTCTATTTGAACTACGATCTGCAATTAACCTTTTTGGAAGCTTTGGGTACTCTCATTTACTTGACATAATGCTTTCTTATTACTTACTAGCTTCAACTCGCGGAATCCAACGTTCAAAAGTATATCCTATGTGTTATGTAATTCCAGACTATAATCTATCTATGTGCCAAACATCATTCAGATCCCTTTAGAGCTGATTCTTCAATAGTCAGATAAATGCTATCTGAGGAATAAAATTGTGGCTGTCACTGTTTTATACAAACATTCTGACGCGATAGCATCATAATTTCCCCAGGTAACTTTTATCTAACCATTAAAAAATCTGCCTTATGTAGTTATTACGTAAAATAATAACAAACGTCATCCTTCCTAACTTACTGAGTTCACGTTATTATTAGAATTTGTCTGTTTTCAGAGAATCTCTGCACAGGGAACCGAAATTTAGTAGCAGTTATGACTATTTGAGAGCGGGTAGCCCTCGTAATCGATCGGACGGTTCTCCAAGCCCATCTGGATCCAGGAGCCCTACGCAACCGACTCGTCCGATCCGGTATGAGCGACCGGTCCATTCTGTGCGGGACATGAGCTTGAGTGATGTGTCCAAATACATCAGGAGTACCATACGCCAAATTTATAGAGAAAGACCTTTTGTAAGTTTATTTTAAAGTCTTTTTTACTCAAAAAGTGCGTATTGATGAATGCTGTTTAGAAGATGATATATTGATGAATAATAGGACGGCAAACTAGCAGACAGATTACCTGATGGTAAGCAATCAGCTCCGCCCATGAACACCCGCAAGTACGGAGGAGTTATGATTGCGTTGCCGATTTGGAGATTTTGGGGAGGGATTGGGCCTCCATTAACCTCACTGATATGGCGAAACAGACAATGCAGTGGTTGTTTCACACTGGTTTTCTTGGAGGTCATGGTATTACTACGGCTGACCCATTTATGCCTGAGCATGGCACTCCTACACTGGTTATTCACGGACGAAACCCAACTTGTCTTGAGTAAATGCTCGGGTCGTTGTGGGGACCACCCAGAGGATATGGTAGAGCGAACGGAGGTAGTGTGCCATGCTAGGGCTGACCACAACAATAGGGAAGTGGTCAGCTGCGGCGACCTCTCATGCCCGGCAGTGCGGAGTGAGAGAAATCAGGGAGCCGTCTTCTTCTGCGAAGCAGTGATGCTTGCAAAGAAGGAGGTGGAGCGCATGAGGTAATCATTCTGCCGACGTCCTTACCACAGCAATATTTCGCAGCAGCACATCCAAGACCTAAGAATTCAATATCGTTTGTTAAGAGCCAGCTAGGTGGACTGACGATATCCGCACGGTGACTGGCTGCGGTTGGATGAGAAGAGCTGAACATCGAGCTGAGTTGCGTGCAATTGGGGAGGCCTATGTCCAGAACTGGACGACATCAGGCTGATAATGATGATGAAGAGCCAGTTACTTATAGAACCTTATTTTTTGAAGTGAGGGGTGTATTGTCCCCAGGTGTTCCAAGTGTGCCCAAGGCTCATGAACCGGTATCACCAACATAAGAAGTTCTGTCCTGTACAAAATGATGAGAATGTCGAACCTTCGGTAAGCACTAAAACGTATACATCACCTGAAGTGCCTTTTGCTTGTTTTTTCCACCTATTTTTTTATGTAATAGGGCGGCAAACAAGCAGACGGATTACCTGATGGTAAGCAATCAGCGCCGCCCATGGACACTCGCAACGGAGGAGATACGAGTGCGTTGCCGAACTTTTATGGATTAGGGATTTGGAGATTAGGGGATTGAGGAGGGATTGGGGAAGGGGAAGGATTGGATTATTTCATCGCTTAAGGGCTTATTTTTCAATAGTCAGATAAATGTTATCTGAGGAATAAAATTGTTGCTGTCACTGTCTTATACAAACATTGTGACGCGACGGCATTATAAGTTAACAAAGATTTGTATAGCATAGAAACTGTTTTTCGTAGAAAATTTTCACATATCTAAATTCTCTGTACCGACTCTCGGTATTCTAATATATAAAATCCAAATTTCGGTTTTTATCAATCATTCCCACAAGGCCGCAACAATGGGTAACGCAGTCGGCGTTACCGACCTTTTGGGGATTAGATTTTGGGATTTGGGTTTGGGGAAGGAATGGGCCGTTGTGGTTGTTTCACGCCGGTTTTCTGTGAGGCCGTGGTATCACTCCGGTCGAACTGGCCCTTTATTTCCGAGGCATGGCTGTCCATATCCATTCCGATTATTTGGTTTGTTTTTGTTTTAATAAACTGTCGTAAAAATCTGGTTTCTGATAGCCTTTAATTATTATTATTAAGGCTAAATTATACCATGTTTAAAAAAGGTTAAACTCTATCATTATTATTTTGTACTATGACTTTCTGGTGGTCCTTTAACAAATAAATAGTACCTAAATAGTACCTGTCTAGTATACTAATAGCCAAAAACATTTTTCGACAACCCCCAGTTAATTGAAAAAAGAAAATGTAGCAATTAACTCCCTTATGTATTATATTTTAAAAAAAGGATATCTGAATAATTTGGATGAAATTTTCACACGAAGCCGTCCGTGACTTGAGTCACTGCAGGGTGCCAACTGAAAATCAGCGTTGAGCATATTCGCTCAACTATATGCTGAGGTGGAGGCCCTTTTGGCATGGGCACATGAATATTAATATTTTAACGTTTTATTTTCTTTTTTGATACTTTATACCCGTTTTGGTTGTATATTCTTGTTTTTTTTATTATTTTATTATTGTACTATTTATAAATATCTTTATTCTTATTATGTATTTTTTATGTACTTGTATTTGTGAGCCTATTTGTTATTAAAATGTGTTTTCTTTCTTTCTTTCTTCAAATAATTATTTATGTTATACCAGCAACGAATTTATGTAAGACGGTGGTATCGCTCCGGTCGAGCCCATTCATTCGTGCGAAGCCTGTTTCATCCACATTAGAAGACAGTATATTTTTCAAAATTTTCATCATAATCCTGGCACAAACTAGACAAATGAATTGTCTTTCTTCCGTGGCTCCTCTTATTGACTGTCTGTCGTATAATACAGATGATAATGATAGTGATAGTCTTGAATAAAAGCTCCTACTAAAAATATAAATGAGTATTGCATTGGTACCGTTTGCTATGTAATTTTTAAAAGGATTTTTAACATCCCTGTTTAGCTTCATTATGATGGCCAAGATGGCTATGAAAAGGGTTATATTAGGTATATTATATTAAATTTATTTTTTCTTTCAGGTTAACGATCAGGAGGACACAGGTAAAAAATTAAATAATTTTTAACCAAGTTTCTTGTTCTTAGATAGATATATAACCTGTTTTTTTATATATCACAACTCTATTGCCGAAGATTCAATTGACTTCCTTTATTCTATTTTAAAAGTCCTTTTTTCACTTTTTATTTAGAATAAGTCGGTATAGGTATTTTGATCTAGAAAATCATCAAATAAATTCTCTCGCCCAGGGTAAAGCGAGCGACACTCCCTTGTCAGAATCTTACTGACTAAAAACCACCCCGATCCTTCTCCTGCGCCCTCGTAACGGGTGTCAAAATATGATCTGAAATTAATGCGACGTTTCAATATAATAGAATGTTGAAAAATAACTAACTATAGGTAGGTACTTTCATTCATCGATCGATCGATACACTAAATTTTAGATTAACATATTTTTTAAGAAATGAGGAAGCTATTTGAAGTAAGAATACTATAACGCCATAACTTAGTATTTCATCGAAAAGTATAGTTTTTGACATTTGGATTTGATATTTTTTAGCTAATTTTTAAGAAATAAGTAAGCTATTTGACGTAAAAATACTATGACGTCTTCACTCAGCGTTTCATACAAATTTCATAGAAAAGTATCGTTTTTGACATTTGGATAAAAGTATTGAATTTGACTAGTTGGAAACTACCATGTTAGGCATTTTTGGACCACTTCTTCAAGGAGTTTTAGTGTTATTTTTAACTTAAAAAATATATCATTAAACAATCATAGATGGGGCCTACTATAGCCGATGTTTAGCCGGGTCCAGGCGTAATAAGGTACCTCGGCCTCGGCCCAGAGCAGGAGAAGGAACGAGGGGGTTTTTAGTCAGTAAGAGTCTGACACTCTCTCTCTCCTCACACAAGATAGGAGAAGAAGATGTATGAGATATAAAAAACAGGTTGTACATAATATTGGTAATATAACATAGAACAGATCCTGTAACAAGCTTAGCCAATTAATTTTAAATTAATACTCCTTGCAAGATCTCAATCTAATTTCATTTTCAAAAGTCAAAAACATAACAGACACTTTTGAACGTCAAATAAAATTTTGAAGATATAATGTCAGTCTGTCGGTCAGTCCTCTTAGTGAAGCTATTTGCTCGTTCCAAAGTGTAGATTCCTATGGAGAAGAACGAGCAAGAAACTTCATGGTTACTCTTTTTAAATCAGTTTTACATACAGATTCCTTTTACAAACAGTTTCTATATGTAAGTCTCAAGTCTATCGGTTAACTAAAGGTAAACAATGTTGGCATGTCTTTTTATATTAAAGAGCTAGTATAAAATACATACAAAGATTATTTAAATTCAGTTTATTAGCTAACATCGATTTAGGTAAATAGCTGATTGTAAACATTTTTACATACAATTTTTAGACAACTTTAAGGTAAAAAGACATGCCAAAATTATTTCATTTCTAATGCATAATTTTGAACCAAAATTTTTAACTTGCGCGAAACAAAATCGCATCTGAATTCGTCTAAAAATGGCCGACCGTACTTTTGTTTTTATTTGCGTGCAGTGAAACCTTTATTACAATGGATTAAAGTTTAAAATTGATTGGCTAAGCTTTTTTATACACTACAACATATACATTTTACATGCATTTTTTTTGTTTATTTTTCTTCAAACTTTTTATTCTAATTGATTGTTTGAATGGTCCTAGGTTGGTCTCTGTCGATTCTAGACATTACTAGATCTCTAAATCCATCGAAATGTCTTTTAGATAATTTTTATACGAATTGAATCAGGTCACCATAATCTCGTACAAGCTTCTGCCGCGCGGTTTTGCCCGCTGCTCGGCTTTAATTGGTCGTAGGGTGATGTTTTATAGCCTAGCACTTAGGAACATTGTAGCTATCTATCAGTGAAAGTCTATCATTTCGAACATACATAAGAACCTTCTCCTGGCTTTAACAAATACCACAAAAAAAGAATTATCAAAATTAGTTCAGGCGTTGTTGAGTTACGCATGTTTATAGAAGTTAAAACATTTTTTTTAAGACGTTGACAAACAATTGGGTTTTTTCCCTGTGTCGTGGGAGCGGTTACAAACATACAATTTCACATACACATAACACCAAGACCCGGAACAACAATTTGTGGATCACACAAAGAGTTGTCCGTGTGGCAACGAACGCGCGACACGTTGCACGGCTGCCTGTTTCCCAATCACCGCACCAACCGTGCAGTCGCAGTTAAGACAATGGAATCAAAGATTATTTGTTTAAAAATTTGATTATATTGCATTATACAGGATCCAGATCCCTATGGTCACAGTTTTTACCGGCTAGAAGTAGCTGTTCCGAGCCTAAGTTTGTAAGTTTTTTTATTATTTTTTATTATAGCGACCCGCCTCCGCTTCGCATGGGTGCATAGTTGATCCAAGAATCCTTCCAAGAAGTCCAATATTTAATGAATGCTATTATACATATAATCCTTCCTCTTCAATTACTTTTGCCCGGTTTCCGAAAGCCCGATCAATGTTAAAATCAATTTACAAGGTGTCAAATCTCTTGTCGAGTCATCTGATTGGCTGTTGATATTTCAGTCAACCAATCAGATGACTTGACAAGAAATTAAATTGATTTTAACATTGATCGGCTTTTCGGAAACCGGGTGTCTGTCTACCAAAAAAAAACACATCAAAATCTGTTGCGTAGTTTTACAAGATTTAAGAATACGTAGAACATAGGGACAGAAAAAGCGACTTTGTTTTCTATAATGTAGTGATTTTCTTATAACTATTAAAAAAGGAATCCCAGGAGATCTTTGTACAATTGTGGCTGTATATTGTAATGAAGTGGTGATTGAAAAAATGGCCGCGTGTGGACTTGATTGATACCGTTGTGTATTTGTTTGTTGTAAGGGATGTTGGATTCGATTCCTAAATCCATTTCTGAATTAAAATTTGAAATAACTAAGTATGTTATTATTTCTCTATAAATATTAAAATCACGCCTAAAATGCACAAATTAATCGATCGAATTAAAGTTATTTATACAAAAATAAAACTACAGATACAAATAATAAAACCTAAAATTCCATGTGTTTCTATTTTCAAACGCTTCCAGGGTCATTCAGTTGGATTTCAGTGTAACGGCACGAACTGCTCCTGCAGTAAGTCGATCCAGTGCAGCTGCTACCCTGATGCAGCCACCAACACCTCCCTCACTAACCTCCAAGCCAAAAAGCCCAAACACTTCTGTTGCCCAAAAATGGCTGGCAAAACTGCTAGTGCTACATGTGTTTGTCTAGATAAAATAAACAAAATACCTATAAAATGCTCGTGTAATAATGACGATGAGATTTACTATAATCGTCGTATCGATGAAGAAATCTCTGATTGGCTAAAACACGTCCCAGTCCAAAGCATTGAAAGCTATGACACGAAAAGGAAACGAGATTCTATGGTCAGACAGTTTAGGAATACTTTGAGAACACTCCGAGACAACGAAGATTTTGACGATAATGTCACAACGGAAGTTAAATCGTTTATGGAAGACTTCCCTATATGGAATCCTGGGACGGACAAAAAAGACAAAATGCAATTCAAAGAAAAATTGTCCGACAATCTTATTGGAAGAATAACAAGTGTACGGAGGAAACCTGACCAGTTCAGAGATATTGTCAGGAAATGGGCTAGAGAAAATGTCGAGTTTGAAGATAGTTTGGATGATGCGGAGAAAGAGGCTTATATTGATAATATTGTTAACCAACTAAAGCATCTTGCTGCTAATAGACCTGACAATGATGCGGAATACAAAGAAATACTAAAAAAAGAAATTATCGAAATGATGAAAGAGTTACCTTTAAAAGTAAAAGATAATAGAGATGCTGCTATAGACAAATGGGCCTCAATACTAGCGACAGATACAGCAAGCATACCCGAGAATGAAGATTTATCAGATGTTAAGACAGATTTAACTTTAGATTTAGAAGACAGTTTAGAAGGTTTGCTAAATGAACTAGGAATAATCAGAGAAGCATTACAACAGATAAAAGATGACCCGAAAGCTCTTCAAATTTTGGCTAAAAGATTAAACAAGTTGCAAGCTCAGGGCATAGATGATGATTCAATAAGAGAAAAAATGGAAAATGAAATCCGTAAGTTTATGGATGACTTAGGGATTGCCCAAGAAACGATCGACGAATTGGTAGGCGAGTTAATGAATCAAGTAAATGACATTGTACAGACGAGTCAATTAGAAAATGAAAATATAGAGGAATTACATGGGATCGTAGACGATTGGTTAAATAGTATACCAGGAATAGATAAAATTAGTCAAACAAAAATTGACAAAATTAGCCGCGATCTTGTAACTGCAATCAAAGAAGCGAAAGAAGAAGGGAAGGAGAATATAGAGGATGAGGTGTTAAGTCGTATTGACGAGGCTGGTCTGCCTATAGATGCCGATACGATACGTAAACAGATACCAGATCTAGTAAACAAAGTTGATTTGTGGCCTATAAACGAACTCTATGATGATCAATCTAAGCAAATCTTACTAGATGAAATTAATGGGATTATTGACGCAGCAAATATACCAGAGGGGAAAAAACAATTAGTTAAAGACAGGTTGAAAAAAGTTTTAGATCATGATATTAAGGATGCATCAATTTTAGATGTTCGTCAAGTACAGAATCATCTTAAGGAGGATATGGGTCGAGCAATATCTGAAGGAGGAATTTCTTATGAAAGTCAATCGGATTTACTGGATAAATTAAGCAAAGCAGTGAGCAGAAATTGTTTCAAATCATTTATTGGGCTCGGTAGGTATATACCTGATTTAAAACAAAGCGCGAAAAAGTATATCAGGGAAGCTCTTGATGAAGTTCCAATAAACGGACGCAAAAAGAAAGAATTAATTGATAAAGTAAAAAATACGCTAGATAAAAATATTAATAAACAACTACCCAATGATATAGAAAATACAATAGCAGAAGAAATATGTTGTATCGTAGAAGAATCACCAGTTTGCGAAGACGAAAATATTGCGAAATATCTCAAATGCTTACTGTCGTCAATTTCAACAAAAGTATTTGATTTGTTTACATGTAAGAATAACTGTGTCTGTCACATACAACGTCGGCTGGAAAATGACTTGTGTAAAGTCATAGATAGATGTCCTATAGATTGTAATAAGAAAAGGGAATTAAAAAGAAATATTCGTGATATACTGACTGAGAATGAGAACCGCCGGCTCTCAGAAGATGCTAAACAAGCAGTAAAGGAAGATATAATTAGTGTTGTAAGTGACATATCGATACCAGAAGACAAAAAGAATAGTTTGAAAAGTAGTATTAGTGAGACTATATCTCAAGACTTTGACGACGCCATAGCTGGTCTTGAACATGACATAAGTAAAGTAAAGCAAAAAATATTTAACCATTTAAACAAAGCTATTGAAAATTCACCAGTAAGCTTTGAAACAAAAGAATATTTACACACTAAACTTAAACGAATGCTCGACGAAAAATTTGATACTTCGCTAACAAATGAAAAAAAGAACTTAATTCTCGATGACGTTTCTGATATCGTTCAAGATGTTATACCAGAAAATAAAAGAACAAAACTAAGAAACAAACTAGCGAACAAACTAGACTCTCAAGATAATGAAAACGCTTTCACAGAGGCAATTAAAAAATCCTTAGAGCAAAACATAAAAGACATTATTGAAAAAGCTTCTATACCGAAAGAAACTAAGAACGATTTAAAAATGCAATTAACAGACATTCTCGATAATAATGAAGGGGAGTCGATGGCAGAAGTAAAAGTTAAAATAAAAGGAAAAATATTTGATATTATTGATGAGTCGCCAATTGCGGAGGAAAAGCAAAGAGCATTAAAAAGGGACTTGTTAAAAATACTCACAAATAAAATGGGAGGAACATCAGTACAACGTATAGGAATGGATAACTATAAAAGGAAGATTACAAATGAAATTAGTGAATTAATTGCAAAACTCCCTATTAGTGAAACTGAGAAGAGTGATATGAACAATGAAATTAACAAGACAATCTCAAATCGGGTTTATAGACCATTAACTGATGATGTAAAAACAGCAATTAAAAAAGATATCAATAATATCGTAAAAGAAACAGATATTCCTGAAAAACCTTTAAAGAATTTTAAATCTAAATTAGAAATGGCTTTAAAAATACATTTAGATGTACCACGTGATGTACATAAAGACACAGACGTCATCAAAGAAGATCTCAGACAAAACCTTAGTCGAGCTGTTGACGAACTAACAATAGCAAACGATAAAAAGAGAAGTTTGAAAATTAAATTAAAGGACGCACTTGTAAAAAATATTGACCGCAAAATGACAGATAAAATACAACAAGATATAACTAAAGATATTGGAACTATTATTGATAATTCAACGATTCCTGACAAAATCTCCGAAAATAAGGTTCTTGATATCAAAGATAAAGTAGCAGATATTGTAGCTGGACTGCATTTAGACGAATATATGCGTGAGTATGTAGTTAACGATTGGATTAAAAAAATATTAACAAAAGATTTAGAAGATGTTATAGATACTATTCCCACTGATTCTAAAAATATAACAAAAGTTAAAAACGATGTTGAGAAAATGTTAGTTCACAGTTTATACTTACCAATGACAGACACAATAAAACATAAAATCAGACGAGAAATAATAAATGTTGTCGATAAAATGGGTATCGATGATGAAGAAAATAGTGACGTTAAAGTGCGAATATCATCTGCGCTAGCAAAAGGCATGGACAAAAAAGTCTGTGTAGGCAAAGATCTAGGTCAAATAAAATCAGCTTTACAACAAATAATAAAAGAAGGAATTGAGAATGCATCGATACCAGAATATACACAAGACTTGTTAGCCCAAGAAAGTGAAGATATTTTAAATGATAATTTGATCCGACCAATAACAGATGAAATAAAAACAGATATACATGAAAAAATAGAGACAATTCTTGAAGACGTTTCGGTTAAAAACGACAAATATGTAAACAAAATAATAAGTACTATTGACAAAAATCTAAAAGAAATAAAATCACGAATAAGAGAAGATTTAGAGGCAAAAAAGGCAAAGGAAGCAATACAAGTCTGCAGTGGATACGTCGGCTGGCGTACTCCGTGGCCGACCTTACGGTGGAGTAGCAGTGCTATGGAGAAAGTCGGTGTTTCCTTCAGTGTCAGTGTTAAAGTGTAACAGTGATCGTATAGCGGCCATTAAGGTTGAAATACATGAGCGTTCTTTATTAATCTTATCTGTGTATATGCCTACAGACTCATACGACAATTTAATCGAGTTTACGGAGTGTTTAGGCGAAATAAATTCCATTGTTGCTATTAGTGACGTCGAATCTGTGTATGTGTTGGGAGATTTCAACGCGCACCCGGGTGAGTCATTTGCAAAGCAACTATTAGACTTTTGCGTGGAACAATCATGGACTTGTGTTGATCTCGATTTGTTGCCTAACGATTCACATACTTTTGTTAGCGAGGCACATGGATGTCGGCGGTGGCTCGATCACTGTGTGGTTACGAGCGCCGCGCGCGCAACCATCAATGATGTGACCATATTATATGATACCTACTGGTCTGATCACTATCCGATGCAATTGACATGTAATTTGAATTTAATAAAACCTAAAATTGTAATGTGTAATGAATTTAAAAATAATGTAATATGGGGCGAAAGGCAGCCTACTCAAATTGAAATGTACCATAATTATTGTCACGCCAATTTGCGGCTTATCGATTTTCCACCAGAATTTGCTACTTGTGCTGATAAAATGTGTAACTGTGATATGCATAAAGCTTTAATTAGGGATATGTATAGAAATGTAGTACGTGTATTGACAGAAGGCGCGAAATCTTCCTGTTGTGCGACTTCAAACCCCGGTCGGGGGAAGTACATTATAGGCTGGAATAAGCATGTGAGGGAGGCTCACGATAATGCTCGGCAATGTTATAAGAACTGGCTGTTGTATGGGAGACCTAGTTCGGGTTGGCTTTATAATGAAATGACTGAGTCTAGGCGTCTCTTTAAGATGAAATTGAAAGGGTGTCAAAATAACCAACAACAAATTAAGATGGATATAATTGCACGACACCATTCCAAATATAACTTTTCAAAATTTTGGAAATCAACCAACAAATTGAATATAAAGCCTAGCCGGCCCGTGAGCGTTGAGGGTGAAAGCGAGCCGGATGCCATCGCGGGATTATTTCGGCAGCATTTCAGAGTTGAGCCGTTTGTGAACCGTGCGCGGTCTGAGATGATGTCGGTGCCCGATGCTGGGGCCATACCTGGAGATATGAATGTAAAGTTCACTGCAAAGGACATTGATACAGTTATCAAATATATGAAAAGAGGAAAATCTCCAGGTCATGATGGCCTCAGCATAGAGCACCTGCGATATGCTGGGGTACACTTGCCTAGGGTTCTGGCTCTGTTGTTTAATCTGTGCATTAGCCACTCCTACCTGCCTGATAGTCTCATGTATACCATTGTTGTCCCCAATTGTAAAAAACAAAACCGGAAATGTCTCGGACAGGTCTAACTACAGGCCAATCTCCTTAGCCACGGTTATAGCGAAGGTATTGGACAGTTTGCTTGACGGCCATTTAACGAAACATATAAAACTGCACGATGGCCAGTTTGGTTTTCGAACTGGTCTATCCACTGAAAGTGCGATTTTGTGCCTCAAGCAGACTGTGCAATACTACACCGCTCGTAAAACGCCAGTATACGCATGTTTCCTGGACCTGTCCAGGGCATTCGACTTGGTCTCGTACGACCTCCTGTGGACTAAATTGTATCACGATACTAGTCTACCCCCTGAAGTTGTATCATTATTTAAGTATTGGTACAATAATCAGAATAATGCTGTTAGGTGGGCGGCTAGTAGGTCGGAGGAATATAGGTTAGAGTGTGGGGTGCGGCAGGGAGGGTTGACCTCACCGAAGTTATTTAACCTATACATAGACCGCCTGATTGGTGAGCTGAGCGGCACCGGCATCGGGTGTCACATAGATGGGATTTGCGTAAATAATATAAGCTATGCGGATGATATGGTGCTGCTCAGCCCCTCAATCGGCGCGTTGCGCAGGCTGCTGAGTATATGTGAGGAGTATGCGGAGGCCCATGGGCTCAGATACAATGTAAAAAAGAGTGAGATTATGGTTTTTAAAGCACCTAAAAAAGAGGTCACAGAGGTATCTCCCGTCTTACTCTATGGTACACCATTGAACCAAGTCACTCACTTCAAGTATCTGGGCCACTGGGTTACTGAGGATCTGAAAGATGATATGGATGTGGAGAGGGAACGCAGGGCGTTGTCTGTTCGCTGTAACATGTTGGCTCGCAGATTCGCACGGTGTACTGAACAAGTGAAGGTCACACTGTTTAGAGCTTTCTGTCAGACCTTTTACACATGCAGTTTGTGGACCAAATACACGCAGAGGACATACGACGCTCTGCGTGTGCAATACAACAATGCGTTCAGGGTGCTGATGGGGCTGCCGCGGTATTGTAGTGCCAGTGGTATGTTCGCAGAGGCGCGCGTGGACGGCTTTTACGCCGTCATACGCAAGCGAAGTGCATCGTTATTGTCCCGGGTGCGCGGCAGCCCCAGCGCCATCCTGGCCGCGTGCGGAGGCCGGTGGGATTCCGTACTAATAGCGCACTGTATAGGCTTACACGCGAAAGCAAGTGCCTAAAATATTTTCATTGATTTTGTTCTGCTTTGTTTTCATTTTTATTATACTGGTACTAACTTAGGCTAAGAACATTGTTACTAACAAATTATGGAAGCAATTCTGAAATAAATTATTTATTATTATTATTATTATTATTATTATTATTAATACTGGAAAAGGTAAGAAATAAAATTAATGCTTCATCCATTGACAAACATAAGAAATTAGCAATGAAATCTGAATTAGATAGAATGACTGCCGATTACTTGAGTAGGCCTTTTGTGGGTAAGGTGCGTGATGATTTTCAAGAGGATATAGAACAGATAGTCAAAGGACTTTCTGCACCTGCGTTAGGTGAAAACAAAGTCAGAAAAATATCTATAAGCATAGATGACAGTGCCGCTGGAGAAATGCAAGATAAGGAATTGACACGGTATATAGAAAAACTAGGAAACGAAACTCAAAAAAGTATTCTATCCCAACTTAGAAAAGCAATAGATGCCGCCCCGATATATGCAGACAAAAAGACAGAATCTAAGAAAATGCTTTTAAATATTGGCAAAGATTACTTTGATACTACATTGACAGAGGACAGTCTAAATCAATTAAAAGATGATTTATTTGATATCCTTGATGAACTACAATTACCGAAAGAGACAAGTGCTAAAATGTCTCAGCAACTATCCGACTTGATTGACGAGCTTATGGAATCATTGACAAGTAAATCCATGGTTGATCCCCTAGAAAATGTTAAAGTGAATGTATTGCATGCAATCACAAATACTGTAAATGATGCAACGATACCTAAAAATAAAAAACTCGAATTGAAAAGTCAACTTACAGAAATGGCTGCGAGGGTGATTAATAATACACCACTGGAAAAAATCCAAGATGCTCTCCGAGATGGCGCTGATGATATTCTTGATGACTATCCTTTAATAAGAGATAAGAAAATTAAATTGAGACGTGACTTAGAAGATAGTATAGAAGAAAATCTGAGTTCATCAGAAAGAGACTATCCAAAAATACGGACAAAACTTCTTTCCAGGGAGGTAATACCAGACTCTCAAATAAAAAAAGAAGAGGAAACGTTACTTTTATTAGAAGAAATCAAAAGGAAGAGAACAAAAAAGAGCATTCTGCAAGGAGTTGAAGAAATCATAGGGACATCGCGTCTTCCTATTAAGAAAAAAGAAATTTTAAAAGAAAAATTAAATAAAACGATAGATAAAATTGTTCGGTCGTCAGTTTTTAAGGATTTGGAAGACGATTTAAAAAGCGGTATTTGTAATGTACTTCATGAAACAGTAATGTTTGAGTCTGACAGGAATAAAATTAAAGACAATTTATTGTACATGATAAATCAGAGGATGAAAGATATACTAAGGTTCAGTGCTGATGATAACGATATGGAGGGAAAACTTCTGCAGAACTTTTTGAATAAACTTGAAAATGCATTAAATGACTCGCTAATACCCACATCTAAAAAGAACATTCTAAAAAACAAATTAAAAATTTTATCCGATACCGGTTTCACACCACCATTCTCTCAAGGTGCCCAAAACATTATATTAGATGGAGTAGATACGGTTTTAAATGAAATGTTTTCAAAGATCGATGGAAAAATATTTAGAAATGAGTTGCTGGATATAATAAGTTCAGGCAAAAACAAAGGAAATGTACAAGAAGAGATCAAACCTAAAAGAAACAAAGTATTTAACAATATCAACAATGGAGCGACACAACCAAACGAAAACAGGGAAGAGAATGAACCTAAAACAATATATGATTTTTTCAAAGCTCTTGAAAACGAAATCTATAAATCTCCTGTTTTTAAAAGGAAGAAAGTTGAATTAAATATTTATTTGCAAAAGATAACAAATGATTTTTTGGACAACTCTTGGTCCGAAGATGTAAAAGACGATTTAAGACATGGAATCAGTAAAATACTAGACGAATTATATTTAAGCAGAGTTAAAAAACACAGGCTGAAAACTAACTTTGAAAGATTGATTGTTGAACCTTCAGAGACTACCAGTAATCCAGGATCATGGAAAGATATGAAAGACATACAAAAAAAACCCTTAGAAATATTTTTTCATAAACTTGAAGAAACAATAGATGATAGTCTAATTCCGATTGGGAAAAACCAGTTACTGAAGAAGAAACTGAAAGATCTGTTTTCTTCAGGCTTTAAACAACAATTTAATAGGAAACAGAGAAACGTGGTTTGTGACATCCTTGAGGCACTACCATTATCAGAACAAGAGAAGAACAAATATTTGAAAGAATTAGATGATATTTATGGTGTTATTTGGATTAAGGGTAATTTAAAAGAAAGATTAATAGATAAAGAAAAGTATGATTCTTTCTTTCATAAATTTGAAAGGATTATAGATGAAAACCTGCTTCCTGAATATAAAAAGAAATTACTGAAGAGAAAACTGAAAGATGTAAGTACATCAGGCCTAAGCGAACCGGTTTCTAGCCAATGGAGGAATGGAGTTTATAGTATCTTAGAAACTCTTATTTTATCAAAGGAAGAGAAAAAAGGACTCCTAAAAGAATTAGGTGACATGTTATTTGTAGATTTAATTACGGAGCACGAAAATGAAAGCCCAAGATCTTTTGCAATACGTACTTCTGAAGCAGATGACAGAAATTCTGATCAGCTATTTTTATCCGATGAACATGTTATAACTAAAGCGAGAGAGAGTATAGTGAAAAATATCGAACGAAGAATCGAAGAAGCATTAATGCCTGAGTCGAAGAAAGCAAAATTGATGGAAAGATTAAAAACGTTGGCGTCTAATAAACTCCAGCAGCCATTATGTGAGGATGGGTGTACGTACGTGAGAGAAGATCTGGGTGATATCATAAATGTATTGCCGATAGACGGAGTAAAAAAAATTGAACTGGTACGTGTGGTCGAAAAAAATATTGAGCTTTTAAATGATCTTCATAAGAACAAAGATAATTCACACAAACAAATCCAAGAAAATATTATTAGCGCACTTTACAATATTGTGAATGAAACGCTGATGGTTGAAGAGAAGAAGAAAGATTTAAAGAAAAAACTCGGAAAATTGGTTGAAAACACATTTGAAGAAGTGTCACCTGACATACTTCATGGTGCACTTATAGATGGTGTTAATGATATTGTCAATGAAACAGGAATCGCCAAGACTAAAAGAGACAAGCTGAAATTTATGTTAATGGAAGCTATCGATGACAATATTGGAGCATTACGAGATGATGAAATAGATACAACTGAAGACAGTACAAAAAATAACGCCCATGAAGTGCCATTGAGACAATTTAATGAAATAAAAACAAGAACTATAGAAATTAACACTGACTTAGTGCCATTTGATACAATCGATAATTTAGGAACAACAACTAAAAAAGAGAGGAATAATGAAAAATTGCCAGTACTGCAAATAGAGGTCGAAACTGAGACATTAGACGAGTTGACTACAGATAATCTATTAATGTTTGCTGAGGATAATAATGACGACGACACAGCTGACCTGATAGAAGATATCCCTCTTGACCAGGCTAAGAAACATAAATCAACTGAGGTAGGATTAACCTTAGTAAAACACCCTGGAAAATGGTCAAGTAAAGAGCAAAGTCAGATGCAAAATACATTAAAAGTACTTGAAACGACAATAGATGACTCGCTTTTAACTGCAAAGCAAAAAGTGGATTTGAAAGAAAAACTTAAAATCATATTAAGTAAGAATTACAGAATACAATTAAAAGACGATTTGAGGGATACCCTAAAAGCTGAAATTAATTTAGTATTAAATGAAATGCCGTTAACAAGTTACGTGAAAAACAAATTAGAGCATGAATTATTACATTCATTAGACTGTCATTTATCCCACTTACAAAAAGGAAATTATATAAACAAATTGAACGAGGATCGTTTAGAGCCTTCAAGCTGTCGAGGACTAAGAAAGGATGAGCTATACACAGAAAAACATCCTTTAGAAGTATTTTTCCACAAACTTGAACAAATTATAGATGAAAAAGCAATCCCCACAGAAAAAATCAAAGTCCTGAAGGAAAAACTAAAATATTTATCTTCTGCAAGTTTTGAACAACCGTTTACTGGGCAACAAGTTAATGTAGTTAATAATATTTTGGACGTACTTCAAATGCCAGAAGAGGAAAAGAACAGATATTTAAAAGAGTTAGCTGAAGTATTAGATAAAGTTTGGAAAGTGGATAAAGAAAGTGCTAAAACAACATCTACATTATGCACAGCTAAACAAGGCCTCCGAAGCTCTAGGATTCCGTCTTTAGTATACGAAAGTAGTATAATTAAAGCAATAGAGAGAGTATTAGCAGAAATTGAGCTAAAAGTCAAGGAAATACCCATGCCTATATCAAAGAGAATCAACTTTATGGGAAGGTTAGAAAAGATAACGTCTGATGATCTGCAGGGAGCACTATCTGAGGGCAAGCGAAATAGTGTAGTAAAAAGCATAGGCAATATCATAGAAGACCTACCCGTAGATGAAGTGGAGAAATACGAACTTAAGCGTAAGGTTGATATTAATATTACATGTGATAAAAGTCTTGACGAAGAATCGCGAGAGAAACCAACAGACAATCCTAGGCAAAGATGGACTTTCCAGAAGTATCCACAACTATCAAAAAGCATGGACGAGAATAAAAAGAACTTTAGGAATTTAACCATGGAAATAGGAATTCCAACTACACAAAAGGAAACCAATACATCGCTAGAGAAATATGATGATAATAAAACAAATTCAAGACTGAGTACATTTTCAAAGGCAACTGATATGTTTAAACCGAGAGAAAGTATAGTACAAATTATTGAACATAAACATTCAAGACGCAAGCGCAACAAAGATTTGGCAGATGATGATGATGACTATCAAGCAAATGATAAAACATTTACGCATTCATCATACACAGAGGAATCAGATATATCAACAAAAAACAACGATTTAACCCCAAGAGACACTGATACCCGGAAACGTGCGAAAGAAAATATAATAAATGAACTTGAAAATAAGATCAAAGAAGCATTAATATCTAGAAGAAAAAGAGCAGAACTCATTAAGCAATTACAAAAAGTGTCAGATAGTATGGAAACGCCCTTATCTGAATCCCAGAAGAATCACATTGTAAATGATTTAACTAATATTGTGGAACAATTGGCAATTTCAGGCACAGAAAGGGATGAGTTAACACTTAGTATTAATGATAATATGGAACATCTAATGGATAAAAGTCTTAGAATGAAGGAATTAAAATTGTTAGACAAAACCATAGAAAATAGTATACATGGATTTGATGAGGTAATAGATAAATCACTAATATCTTCAAAAATTAAAACAGATTTGAAGAAATGTCTTGAACATTTGGTCAATACAACTTTTAACCAAGCGTCGCCGTCGACTAAAATTACTTCAGAGGATTTTAAATATGCTGTCTTTGAATTACTAGATATGTTGATAACTTCAAAAAACAAAAAGAATATTTTGAGAGAAGAACTATTTAAAAGAGTCGACGAAAATTTTGAACGATACGAAAATGAACTAAAAGAATTACTAGGTCAGGAGACGAATGGAAAAGATGCTGAGGGTACAATGAAAGACACAATAATAAAGTCTGTAGAACAATCATCAATCGGTGATGACACTAAACAAAAAATTCGAAGAGAACTTAGTGAAATGTTAAAATCTGTGCTCATAGAGGATAAAAATAGAAACGACGACGACGATAATAGTTTTAGTAGCCTTATTGGGGACTTTAAGCTAGATCCTGAATATGAAGCAGAATTAAAACAAATGGAAGACGAATTAGCGAAAGTGATCCTCGAAGGAGGTGACCTAGACGCGGCAAAAGAACGCCTTATTGAGAAGATAATGATGGAAACAGGCCTGTCACGTGAGCAAGCCACTGAACTAGTTAATAGACTACATGCAAAAACTAACATGGACAATAAAGATAATTTTAAGGAGCTTATTAAGACTTTTGGCCTGAATCCGGAATATGAAAAAGAATTAAAACGAGCAGAAGATGAGTTGACCAAAGTGATCCTTGAGGGAGGTGATGTAGAAGCCGCAAAAGAAAATCTCATTAAAAAGATAATGGAGGAAACAGGTCTATCCAGAGAACAAGCCGCTGAACTTGTTAATAAGCTATATGAAAATGCTAATAAAAATAAACACATTAACAACATACATGAAACAGAATCAAAAGGCATTGACGATGAAACAACAAAAACGGTCCTCGAAGAAGGTGTTGTGGATGAAATAAACGAGAAACTCAACAAAGAAATGAACGAACCAGATCTAGCAAGAGTGCAAGCTGTAAGCTGCAATGTAGACAATAAAGGTAAGTTTAGGACTCTAATTAACACCTATAACCTAAATCCAAACTGCGAAAAATAATGAAAAGGTATTAAAGATAAATCGACTAAAGTAATCCTTGGGAGAGGTGACGTAGATGCCACGAAGAAGACGATTAAAACTGTAATGGACGAAGCAAATCTGACCACACAGCGAGTCACTGAAGTTGTTAAAAAGCTACAAGTAAAAACTAATAAAGAATACAAACATCTTGAAAACATTATGAAACAGACAGAGAGAAAAAATCTAACTAGTAAATATGCTTCACGTAAAAGCGAATGATGATAAAAAAGTAAAAGGCTCAATGACCTCGGCAGAACCAAATTATTTCAAATAATTAAAAGAGCAAAACAAAAGTTGACGAAAGTAATCTTTGAGCGAGATGCTTTAAAATAGAGCCGCAAAGGAGAAATTTATTAAAAGGATTAAGTAAGAAATAGGTTTGCCTAAGCAAGCGGCAGAACTTGTTAAGAAGTTTCACGTAAAAGGACAAAAAATTAAAAAAAAAATGTGCCACAAAGGCTATTTATTTACACTTTCGATAAACCTCCCATTTTCTCAATTTAAAAAATAATCAATTAAAAACGATATTGATCAAAATTTTGTACATTTAATAAAAAATGAGGTAAAAAATCTCTAAAAGACATTGTGTCAATAGGTTCATGAACATTTTAAACACATCCTCCACAACAAACATGTAAAATCAAATATATTAAAAGTCAGGATAACATTTTAATAGTCGACAAGCAGATTACAAGAAGTTCTTAATTCCAAAACACCAAAAGCCTTAAACAAATTCGTTATTAGTAGCTATGCATAAACAGATAATCAAATAATATCTACTGATTTATTTCGTTGCGGGATCCAAGACCATCATTCATGTCCCTGGAACGCGCCGGACTTCAGTGTTTTGGTGTTTTCATGGTTGTATCTACTGTAGATCCTGGCTTACAGGAGTTGCAGTGGTATCGGAAGACTGCGGCGGGCTTGTTCCAAAAAAAAAGCTATAAAAGGTATTAAAAGGAATATATGAATTTACCAAACTAATAGGGATACATAACGAGGTTGAATCTATTGGACAACCAGAAGAAGGAATTAAGCAAAGACAAGAAATACTAAATGGCAATACAGATTATTAACCGCGCTAACCTGAAATATATGTTGAAGATGCCACCAAGGCTTAGATGGAACAGAATGATATAAAGTCAAACGCTAGAGGCGTTAAATAAGAAATTATAGAAAGTATAACATATTTGGAACTTCATCAAGTCTTCAAAAGGTTGTGAAAAAAAGCTTCTAATTATATTCCTACTATAATGGATGGGTCTGAAGAATAGTTTAATATAATTCGTGATATTAATAACACTATACAGACCAAACTGATCTCCCCAAATTCGAACGATTTAGACTACTTATTAATGAAAGTTATAAAGTATGAACTAGTTTTTTTAACAAGTCCAAACTCATATTTAAATGAGATAATTTAACCAATAAATCATAATTGACGATATCAATCACAAATGGAATCGCTAAACTAAAACGCCACTGATACAAAATGTACAAAATGTTGCAAAATTCTTCTACAATAAAGGAAAAGAATTAAAATCAAATCATTATAGAAAAAGTAGATGATTTATTTGTTCATCGCGTATAAAACACGTACTTTCATATACATTTCTATTCGTTGAATCAACAGTAATTCTGCGTATAAAACAAGATAAAAATAACTAGTCGTTAATAACTAAAATCTCAATAAAAATAAAAAACATACCTAAATTCTGAAACATATTATCTCCTTAAGCGTCGCAGCAGTGCTATTATATGCACTCTATGGTAAATTTCATCTCGCCAAACGTCAAAAAACTCACTTGTTTTAGTTCCTTTTATTTCGTTATTCACGTGGATTCACGATTCACGCCAATGTAGATTTCACTCCATTTGACAATACGAAACTTTAAATGAACATGATTTTACCGCGGATTCGGCAGGGATTTCGCAAATTAACTTTTGAGAATAGCATGACTGGTGTGAGGGCTGCGCTGTTTTATAAAAAAACATAAATGAATCTGTGAAACTATTTGACCATTACTTTAAGCATTCCATTAAGTAAACTTAATGATGATTTTTTTCTGGTCCTTTTGCTCCAGCTGTAGTTTTGTTTTGTGCTGATATCTATTTTGTTTGTTTGCCCTCAATGAGATTGTTATTCTCGGGTGTTTTCTTCTTGGTCTTTTCATGATCTGTATGGTCTTTTGTCGTATCAGTTCCAGTCATTTTTGGGTCTTTTCTGAGTTTTTCTTCTAAAGTCTCGATGCGAAAGGGATTCAATTTTTATTGATAGATTGAATTTCGATTTGAAATAAGAGGCAAGTATGTAAGTGCCTCATTTTTAGGATCGGAGTAAGCTTCTGTTTTCAAACTGTGTTGTCCTTTCGTTCGCTTTTATCGTCCTCTCTCTATCTCATATATCTCATGTATTGTTATTTAGGTATTGTGTTGTTATCGAAGTGTGTTTGACGAAATTTTTTTTAGATTCTTCAAGGGTTTTCGTAATTAGGTTCTGCACTCCTTCACACACTGATTGATAAGCACACTTACAGCTAGCCACTACTGTATATCAACATATTCTTTACAGTAAACATTTCTGCAGCATTATTGACTTCACGATGCTATTTTTGTTCAAATTCATAAAACTTTTCTTTCATTCCGTTTTAATCTCAGTTGAAGTCAATACTGTTACATATTAGTTAAGTTAAGAAAATAGTCTACTTCAATTAATTTGTTCTGTAGCAGAACAAACATTTAACAAGAAACGAAGAAGGAAATCACCTTCTAGAGCTAAAAGAAGAATAACAGCTAAATCAGTAATAGAAAAAATAAAGGAGCCATTGAAAGAAGAAATATCTGACATCCTCATCAAGCACAAAGTCAGGCCAACCAACACAAATAAACTTATAGAAGATATTTTCAGTCGATTAGATGATTTAACTGCGAATGGTGGTTACCCATTTGATGCAACTACCAGCTGCAATAAAACCTTATCATTACAATCCCACGTCTCAGGCCAACGAACTCGAAAAACATCAAAGAAGCCAGTGAAAAAAGCTAAAAAAATATCTCTTAAAACTAAAGAACAAATCAAAATGGAAACGCATAGTGTTGAAGAGCCAAAACAAAGATCTATTAATAAAACAAAAAAGACCTTTATTGTTCCAGAAGAAACCGGAATAAGTAAAATTAAAAGACCTGCTTCGGCGCATGTCAATTTGATTGCGAAAACGCACAGAGAAAGTGATGATGTTTCAACCAAGACAAATGGTATAAACATTCCAAAAGACTACACACACTCGCTCATAAAAGATGAAATTGAAGATGCACTGTATAGAAATATAAAGCATATTTTAATTGAGGCAGCCATACCACCAAATTGGGGAAACAAATTGAGAGATACTAATTTGAAAAATGTCGTGGATAAGGATTCGGACAAATCTAAGTTAAAGAAAAAAAAGGATGTTGATATGCTAAAACAACTCGTATTACAGGATGTGTATGATGTAATAGACAACTCACCGAACACCAAAAATGACAACGAAAATCTGAAATCCAAACAAAGAGAAACAGTTGATACAAAATTGAACGAAACCGAACTCATAGATGGCCGTGTTCAAAAAGAAAGATTAACAGAAAAGGTTGATGATGTCGCTTCTCAGGTGCCAACATCTAGTACTGAGACGCATAAGTTTAAAAACACTTATACCACAATTTACAGTGAAACAGAGCAATTAAAAATAAATACATTACCTCCATATCAAAAAAAGAGTTCCGAATCTAAGAAAAGCTTTGCTCCTATAGCTAACTCTACTTTTAAGAATGACAATGATTTAGAAATAATAGAAGAAATGCAAGCCACGGATACTGCACAGAAGACAGTAGAAAATATAGAGAAAGACTATACGGAAGAGGTTACTGAAATAATCAAAGCTTGGCTGGAAGAAATTCCTCTAGAAATAGAAGTGTCAGCTAAAGAACAGTTTATTAAAGAACTAGCGAATGATATTATTGATAGAAAGAACATATTCCACGCACCTGTGAAACTTTTATTTGCAGAAGATCTAGAATACTTAAAAAAACAAATATTGAAAAGGACAACTGATTTGTTGACGCCGGATATACAGAAACTTGTTCTAGGGAAATGTAAAGGTCTTTTAAAGAAGATAAATGAAATACAGGTTCCAGCAGTAACTGACCCATCTGGACCCGTGCCACAGACACTATCACAATCAGGTTGTAAACAATCTTACATTTTTTCTACATACATTTTTCTATAGATCTAAATCAGGATTGGTGTAGTCAGAAGGTAAGATAAGGTAAGTGTGAAGTACTTTTATTCCTGATGATAAAATACATTCAAAACAATTAATCGTTTCTAAACATAAACGCCAAAAACTGTTGGTTCATAAATAAACAGCAATAAAAATAACGATAACGAAAGAAATAACATAAAATTGTAATGAATCAAATTAAAAGTTAACACAATAAAACAAATATCTAACAAAAAACGCGTAAAATACAGATTTAGGTCGCGTAAAAACAGAAAGCATTAAACAATAATGGTAGGGCTTTACAAAATTTTGTCAGTTACTAATTATACAATTAAATACTCAAAAATTCACATACAAAATAAGGAGAAGCAACATTTTGGTAAACCCTGTTTTCCTTCTAAAAACAAGCTTATCACAATTTATTTACATTCGTTTCTAACCATTACCTAGCAAAAAACATCAGAACACCTCTTTATTTTTAAGAAATGGAAGAAGAAAAAGCTGCTTTACCATCTGCAAAAGTACTGAAAGCCTTGCAAGATTCATTGCTTCGAGAAATGGACACGTTTTTAAGCCCTCTTGATATAACTACAGAGGGCAAAGAGAAACTAAAAAGAAAGCTACTGGTTGATTTAGATAGACTTCTAAAAAATGAAACTGACCCAGACATAATCATGCAACATTTGATAGCTACAATAAAAAGGGTAACTAATATGAGCAATGAAGAAGCTGTTGAATTAGCTCGAAGACTTATGAATAAAACTAAAGAAATGGGCTTCCTTCCAAAAGTTTGTTGTCAGCCAAGGCGCTTGTCATTTGCCACTGATGCCATTTGCGTCCCAAAAAAGGCCTTCAGAGATGCCATTTTGGAAGAGATTGGTGACCCATTTTTGGGATGTCACATATCTGAACAGAAGAAAATGTATTTGGAAGATTTGCTGATAGAAGATTATGCTAAAGAGTTTGGCATCACTCTAACCGAATGTTGTCCTAGAGGTAATGATTTATTTTTGAAAATGTCCTATTTTTTATTCGGCAGATTTGTCAATACACTAGATATGTAGTTACTCACAAATCGCAATTCGTCCTCCGGTAATTTAAAGCAAAGAATCTAATACTTATTTGATTAAGAAACACGTCGAGCGGTTTTAAAATTTCATTGGTTGATTCTGATTACTCGGTATAGTTAAAAGTTTTATTTAAAAAATAATTATTTTAAATCCAAAATTGGTATTTCTGTTAAAGTTGTTACAACACGGTAAGTAGAAGGCCTCAGGACAGAATCTCGTTCGTATCGAATCGTAATGTATAATATATACAGCACAGACCAGAACGTTAAATAACAGAACCCCAAAAACTTAAATTGTACCAATCGATCGTCTCACAAACGTTTTACTATTACTGCCATATACATATTTGGCAAGCTCTATAAGGATACCAAGGCCTTAACACATTCAGTGCCCCCGACGCGTATGTGCGTGCGAGGAAACGCACATACGCGTCGGGGGCACTGAATGTGTTAATAAGATTCTGCCTAAGACTATCATGTTTAGTTTTATCTTCTTTGTAAGTACGTAACTCTTGGCAGGATCATTTTTGTTTCTAGTATTATAATAGCACATTTATTTCCAAAGTGGTCAATTGTAACCGACAGAAGCGTAATATAATTTTTCTTGTAATCTTATGGTTATTTAACTCGGGTATGATGCCTGATTAAAAAGGTTTCTGTTTTATTTTTATAAAAGAAAACTGCAAACAGTTATTTATTCTAATATGTTGCAAAGTTTATCTTTGACTAGTCTATCGAATAGTCTTTAATTGCAACATTAAAGTGAGACCACAGACAACAACGAGTGTACTTTAGGATCAAAATATTAATTTGGTATGCAAGCAAATGAAATCTTGCAGAAGTGAAGAAAATTAGAGACGAGTGAATCATACTAAAACGTCGAATCGACAAGTTAATAATAAAATATTTTGATAAATTTCAGATGATGTAGGAGATGAGAATGATGTACCAACATTAGTTAATGATTGGATTAGTACTATACCAGTCACTATGAGGAATGATCAAGATTACACGACATTCGTACAAGAAAAGAACAATTTAATCCAAAAAATTACAGAATCTTTACCTACAAGTAACTTTGGCAAGATCAGAGAAGATGCCGCGAACTTTTTGCTAAACATTCCTTTGCATTCTGATTTGAGAGAAAATGTAGAACAACAAAATAAGAAGGTTGAAGATCTTATCAACAAATTTCTATGTTTACCACCAAAAGCTAAAGGACGCCGCTATGGAATGAGCTTCAGTGGTCTAACTGACTACATAGACTCTTGGATTGACAACATACACATTTCTGATGACACAAAAGACGATGAAGCAATGAAAGACATGAAGAAAGGTATGACATACAGTCTAGTACACAAATTAGGAGAAATGAATATAGATCCAGAAATCTTCAATAATAATTTACTATATGAAGAGGTATTAAGGGATGAGCTACAGAATCTGCTGGATGATGTTACCATAACTGATGATAATTTACAAGCTCTCAAAGATGACCTGATTGACAAGGTAAAGTCTGCTCAACAGAGAGCTCACGATGAGATTATAGGACAGAATTACAAGCACCAATTACGCCATGCAATGACGGATATTCTACCCGCTCCTTGTACTATGTCGAGAGATGAACAAGCGGCTATGGAGTTATTAAAGGATCAGCTAGCTGACGCGTTTATAGACTTAAACTATTCAGGGAATGACGAAACTCTTAAAACACAATTGAAAAGAAAAATTGCGGATGAGATTCGCAAGTTTTGTGATAACTATTTGAGTTCACATCCTGCCGCCCCACTGAGTGATCAACAGCTTAATTTTGACCTTTTTAACGCATTGGCAAGTGTACCACTACCTTTAGGAGATTCTATCCGATATGAAGTAGAACAAGCGAGAATTAGAGAAGTAATAAATGAATGGATTAAAGAATTGCCACTACAACCACAAAACCACTCGGAGCTGTTAGCCAGAAATAGATTAATTTATATTCTGTCGAAGAAATTGTTTGATATCGAGACCGAAGCTGAAGACGCGCCAGACGAACTTATGAGAAAGGAAATAATAAAACTCCTAAATAAAATGCCTTTGAGCCCAGGAAATGACATCAACCAACTCGCTAATGACTTAATTGAGAAACTAAATTCATCGAAAGAATCTAGGAGGTTCGATGATAGTTCCGACGACATTGATGCTTACAGAAATATCTGCGATAGCTCATGTCCTATCAAGGGTAAGGGTTCAGTTCCTTCGAGATATAGAAGGATAGCAACTCCACAAGAAAAGCTTTGTTACAAACGTAAAACATTCCCTCCGTGTACACTTAGCCTTGAAGACAGAGCATACTTAGATAAAATTAGACGTAGATCATGCGTAACACCAAATTGCGTGAAGGCGTTGTTAAGGAATGACAAATGCAATGCTGCAGTTGGACCGCAACCAGCTGACGCGCAAAGCCAAACAGAACTGAAGACCAGGCCAGTTTGTACAGGAGTTAATGAAAACATGACTAGACCATGTCTTGGCATGACCTCGCCACGAAGATCTCCATGCAGTTTAAGAAGGCATACTGTATCTAGCAGCAGAATACAGGTTGATCAGGAAGAAGTCCAGCCACAAGTAAGTAATATTATATTAAAACTGGTATTTACAGTATCGTAGTTTTATTTTTCGCCAAAGAAAGAAAGAAAACCAATGATAAACTATTTTAGAAACAACAATAAAAAACATTTTTCTTGATTTCATTGCACATCTAATCTGATGAACATTTCCTTTGTACAACTTGCTATCATCATACACATAATAATACAAGCTAAACACGTTGTTTACATTTTCAGGTAGCCGTAAAGAAGTACTACTGGGACTCTGCTCAAAAGTCTAACTTCCAGGACTCAGAATCTCAACCAAATCGTGCCCCGTATTCTTCTTCGTTTTCACCGCCTAGACCTGCGACCTGCCATCCTCCTGACTGCCAGCGGCCAACATCCTACCAACGTCCTGTTACACCTCCTTTTCGTGGGACACAACCCAATACCGTACCCTGCCAAGCTGGTACACCGCCTTACAAGAAATCTAGCCAATCACCATACCATCGTGACTGTTATAAGCACAACAATCAACAACAATCCACCAGTCCTCACAGCGTTCCTTGCAATTACGATCACTCAATTTCTCATGGTGCTTACACAAAACCTACAAAGCCTGTGGGTCGCTTTTATCATTGGTCCCCGCAGAGATCGTTCCAAGAGAAAATTTCTCAATCTTCTCAACGATCAACCCCACGCTCTCGGTCTCCTGCGCAGAGCCCCTGCATAAGCCGATCTCCGTCACCCTGTGGATTAAATCACGAATCGACACCACTAAATTGTAGAGGGAAAAGAAACGGTCTTCAAGAGCCTTGTACTAGCAGTAGACCATCCCGGAAGGAGAGAGTCACCGAATTAGGATCTTTAGATGACCTACAGCACCCGAGGGCAAACAAAAATAAAAGTAGTAGCTTTGACTGGTCTTATGCTCAATTCCCAGAAGATGATAGCTTTTGGGGTACGCCATGCATGAGGCGTGTGATTTTGGATGAAGGGATAGACGAACCGCTAATGATGGAGAGGGAAGAAAGAGAAGAAAGAGTGACTTGTAAGTGTAAAGAGAGGTTATTCCCCAAGGCTATGAGGACCAGTTGTATGATTCCCCCTCGTGACCAGGAAAGCCGCAATGGAAACAACTTGCGCCGGTGCTCCAAATGCTGCGGTATGCACTGTCCCTTTCCCAGCTTCCTGTACTTCAGAGAGTAAGTGTTGTGTTGTCCTTTACATTGTGGTGTTATTTGATTTAATAAAAGCTATGAAAATTTTTTCGTGTTATATTTTTATGCGAGTATTTTATGTACTGTCACTCAGTTAAATTAAAAAAGATAAGGTACCTAATCAGATTGGTTTATCTGAGTCAACATCCATCAGTATCTTGTGAGTAGTCAATTCAGAACGGGCATAAATACGACCAACGCCTACCCTTAAATTCTATCGACGTTCCCCCAGCGAATAAACACAGAACCAGCCTCAATACCTTACTTATCTATAACATCTGACACACATCAACACTAGAAGAAAGAAAGAAGAAAATACATTTATTCGGCATCAGACATGAAAGCCAGAAAAAAAAACAAAAAATATAACACAAAAAACAATAAAAAGGTTAAAAAACAGAAAAACAAAAATACGCTATATATACAGAATCATATACACAGTGTTGGCAGACAGCAGAACACACAGTGTTGACAGTGTTCTACAGGGTTGGCAGACATGTCTAAACCGAACGGGTCGCCAACTCAGCAAAAAGCTGGGCACACTGAGCACCCAACACTGATTTTCAGTTGGCACCCCTGCAGTGACGCACGGACGAAAGCAACGCATAACGAGTACGTTCAGATTATAATATAAGAAAGAAATTAAATTAAATATAAATTATGAGAGCAAAGATCATGTTCAAATGAAGAAAAGATGCATGGAAAAATAATACCAGAATATATCAAAAACAAACTAGGAAAAAAAAACATTTTGTAATATGAGGATATTATAATTGAAATGTACCGTGGGGTATTTGCAATATAAAACACCATGAAATCGCAGTAGTAAACTCAGAAGTTGTGGGTAATCAGGGTGTCACGTCGGTTACATACTGAACCATACCCTATACAGCAAATGATAAGGTCTTTGACCGTGTGCCTCCTGCTACTTTTACTATACTCAGAATTTTAATTCCATTCCAGATTTGACAATTTCAGTGTTGCAACGTTATGACACGTAATAAATAGTGACGTTGCGAAATTATTCGATGTGGAAATCGAATATTTCTGAATCGATTCCTCTCATTTATAAATTTAATCTCGTAAACTAAGTTTATCAGGAAATAAAATATTTTGGAACCGATAATTTAGTTTTGACAATTAACGATCTGAGACTTTTCTTTTGTAATCGTGTGTGAAATTAATAAAAAATGTGATGATGAAGGAACGTGACAAATAAAACAGACATTTTGTAAATTGTCGCCGTCATCGCTATCACTATCGCTGTTACTTTCTGTAACATTTATTATGAATTGTGTCTGTGATTTTTATTGTCAATTAACATTATAGTTTACTAATTTTTTCCTCTTCTTAGAAAACATGGCATACACATTTAGACCATTCGGTAGCCGTAATTTTTTGAATGCCTTCCTGAAACTGATTTACCGATTGTTTATCGATTTTTGTGTTCATCACTACACTGTTATATGTGGTATCATTATTTCATAAAATGACAGTTGTCAATGTCAAATCAGGAATTTAATTAAAATTCTGACTATAGGTGAATTTCCTAGGCAGAATCATTTTTATTCTGCTCATATCATTCAGCAAAGCACATAAGACTTTTTAAAATTAAAATTGTTGCTATTGATCGAAACATTTTATTCACAAACCGCAACATAAAAAACATAACATATAAAACACACACACAATTTATTGAGGACATAAATGATACATACGGCTGTTCTGATCAAAGCACATACGTCTCGGACGGAAGAATTCCATACATCTACATCTAGTATGTTCACCGGCTTCTGTTTCGCCACCACTAGCAAATACTTCAGCAGTGGTACCACCGTGGCCCGATGGTCCATCGGTACTTGGAGACACATAACGAGCTGTAGGAGTTTCTTGACTACGCCTCTGTTGACTGGGAACATGCAACATATCTGGGTTCTGTCTTTGATGCCCACTTATGGTTTGACTTTGACGTTGACTCACATGCTCAGTTCCTGGTTCCAACATCTGATTGCTCCGGAATGATCCCTGCCCATTATTGGCTACATTTTGGGATACATTGGGATTCTGGTACGGAACGTATGCTTGGCCTGACGTACCAGGTAGGTGTGTTATGTTTGATCGTTGCATATTTGGCAGTGTAACACGCTTTGGTACATTTTGGTAAGGACCATAATTTGTTCTCCTTACACTTCCACCAGGTTCTCGCATGCTACGGAAGCCCTTTTGTGTAGGGACGTATCCGTCTGAGCCCCTACTAGTTGCATAAGTTGGTAGTGAATATCTTGGATCTGTGCTAGGCCTGGAAACTGCTTGAGGAGGATGGTTGGTACTCATATGACTAGCATTTGCATAATTAGGTCTTTGCACATGAATAGGCCCATAACTTTGTCTACCGCTCTGTCCTTGTTTAATATAATTACTAGCACCTGGTGAACCTGAATGAACTGAATTCATATGCATTCGCTGTCCAGGTTGAATAAAATATTCCTCGTCTCGCGGTGGTCGACCTGTACTAGTACCAGCTTCCATTGACGAACTGGAAATGTATTTCTTATTAACTTGTGCAAAAGTAGAACTTATAGGTCGGTGTCTTTCAAACTCATTGTAGTCTTGTGGTTCTTTCAACCATCTGTTTTTTAATCGATTATTTAGATCTTCTACCATTGCGTTTATATTTAAATCTTGATCATCTTGTAATTGTGCTCTTTTCTCGAGGAATACACTCACTTCATGCTTCATTTTCATTTCTTTGGTCGATTCATCTTTGTGCCGTTTGTGTATGTCGTACAACTTTTTCGCTAGTAGGTCCATCATTCTTTTCCTTAATAACCCATCAGTATCGTTGACAAGAGGTTTTGTCGGCAAGTCTTTGTACCATTTCTCTACTTCATCTCCCAGTTGAATTTCTTCCGCTTCTTCTTGTAAAACTTCATCTCCAGGTTTTGGCACTTGTTCTAATACTTTCATAGCTATGCGAGTCAGTTGGTTTTTGTTAAAAAACCTAAAGCCCACATTGTGTTCTTTAGCTAAATGGGTGGCTAGCTCATCAACTTTCTTCATCAATCTTTTCTTGTAAATATTAGCTTTCAATGCATCTTTTTCTTTATAATTCGTTTCTAGAATGAACGCGTCTGCCATTTCTGCTAAAAACCCCTGCTGTAATAAAAAGCATTGCTCCAATTCCAATTCCTTAGCAAATTTTCTATTAAATTTATTTCGGACTCGCTGTCTAAACGAGGGCCTGTCTGAAAAGTTATGCAACTGATCTAACATATCAATTGCATTTGTAAGAATATCAACTTTCCAAGCGTGTCTTTGCTTTAATAGCTCTAAAGATTGTGGGAGAACGTCTAATAGTTCATCTAATTTTTCCTCCAGCATCAATTCAAAATATCCATAATCATTTTCAATTTCAGGATCAGCTTTCAAATTGAAAAATGTTTTTATTATTCCATTGTAAATCGCAGTTTTTGCTAAATCGGCTAGTTTGGCATTTTCTGGAGTTGAAGAGTCGATTGGCAAAGCATTACACCTATCCTTAAAAATCTTTTGATATTTCTCGTAAACAGCTTCTTTTGTGCCTTCGTCAGGTAGCCTAGACTGTGAGTAACTCGAAGAATGCGAATGCGAAGCATTAGATAAGTTCGAAGGACTATTAGTTTGGTGCACATCTGAATGCGGAGAAGAGCTTGCCTCGGCAGGTTTTCTGTAAAACTGCTGAAGATACACTTGTTGCCATGGGTTCATATTTATTGGGCTTGTAGTAGTATCAATATTATTTTGTGCCCCTAAAGAAAGCTGAGCCTGACCTGACCGGTTTTGAGTGTTAGAAAAAGAAGACCGTGCTTGAATCTTATCTTGCGGTCTAACTAACATTGGTACAGGTATTTTTTTAATACGACGCATCAAATCATCAGCGTGTGTTATCGTTTCAAGATTTTCTTCACCGACTATCTTATTGATCCATTTAAAGATCTGATACTTTAAATGTTCTAACTCATTTTCTTTTGCATTGGGATTTATTTCTAAATATTTATGTCTATCTACTATGTCTCCAGCCAAATCGTTGATGGCTACTTCTTTATAGCCATTGTTGAATGTTTCGGGCAAGCCCAAGTTGTCTAGCCACTGGCCAATTTGATTTGCTAGTAGTTTAGTATATATGATCGAATTCTCGTTGATATCGATGTCTTTTGCGTTGGGAAGCCCGAACGCAGTCAAATTGGTATTCTTGAGAGCATATACAGTTACGCTATTGCTTTCAGTACATCTTTTATTTCGAGGTAAACAATTTTCTAAACTTTTAACAAGTAATTTTGCCATTGATGTTATATCATTTTCAGTATTTTGTTCACTTTCTAGCGGACACCTTCTTAGAAATTTTACTATCTCCTTTTGTAATTCTTCATAATTGTGTTCTGTTGTGTTTGCGTCCATAGCTATTCGATTAATAATAGAAGTCATATCGTCTACAAATGAGTGAAGTTCTTTTGGACATAAATCCGATCTTACAGGCAAAGAATGAACCCATTCATTGATAGTATTACTTATTTCATTTTTTGGTTTGTTTTCTGTTATTTCTTCAGCCACGTGATCAGAAGGTGTAACTTTTAAATTTTCCATAAGGTTTGAAGCTTCTTGGTTCATATACTGTGTGTCTTCTTTTTTGGCGAGATCTATAGGTAGTGATTTCATGAAAACCAATATCGCCTTTTTCAGAATGGAACTGTCACAACCTAAAGTTTTTAACTGCTGTATGCTTTCAATAAACTGTGCTTTCTGAACGTTGAATAAATTTTCGTCAATTATATTTAAAGGTAGATTATTTAACCAAAGTTCAATACTGTCGGATAAGTCATAATCTTTCTTGATACTCTCCATATTAAAATGTTTAAACTTAAATTTATCTAAGTACAATTTTAATTGACAGGCTATGTTTTGGAGAATATCTTCGTTCTGTTTTGGTTCTAGTTTTCTTATATACTCGATAATATATTCGTCAGGGTTAGGGTTTTTATCTATTCCAGCTTTTAATTTATTTCCTAACTCTTTCATTATCTTTTCTTGGTGTTGCCTCACTTCGGGCGCCTTATCTTTGTAAAATGGTCGTCTTTTTAGCCATTCTAGCAACACTTCTTCGATCTGAAATGTCTCATTATTGAATTCCGGTGTTGTATGTGACGACTCCTCTACATCTACAACATTACAGGATTGTAATTTTTGCACCAATTTCTCGGCATATTTATCCCTAAAAGTTTCTTTATCTACTTTGGCATGCAACGGTAATTTCTTTAACCAATCAGACAATTCTTGTAACAATTTCTTATGAATGACTTCTAACGGTGTATTTTTAATTTTTGTTTTTATTTTACTTATTTTAACAGCTATATCGTGAATTATTTCATTTTTGTTGTCTGTAAATGTGTCAATTTTTTTTGGATCTATTGGTACTGTGTCTATCCATTCGTCTACCAAATCTTCATATGATCTAATCAAAACCTTTTCATATTTGGGGTCGATCTCATTTTTCTCTTTCGTATAAGGTACACGTTTGATAATGTTTGTCAACTGTTCTACTTTAGAAATATCTAACTTATTCTTGAAGACCGTTTCAACCCATTTTGTTACTGTTTTAACAACTACTCCATCTTCTCTACTATTAAAACTCTTTTCTATTTCTTCAGAAAGATTTCTAATTGCTTTAATAGGATTGATATTTTCATTTAAATGAAGTATTGATTTCAGGTTTTGGTACCATTTTAAAATTTGTTCCGTTAGAGAGTCAGCATAATTTTTGTCACTTACACCATCAGCATTATTGGTAATAGTCAATTGCGGACATGTATTCTCCATAGGACACTTTGGTATATCTTTGATTTCATTCATCAATTCGTCAGCATGTTCTAAAATTGCTATGTTTTCTTCACCAAGCAATTTATTTGTCCATTTAAATATTAGGAACTTTAGATACTCAAGTTCTTCAAAATCTGTTGATTTGTTGTTAGGATTTAATAGTAAAAATTTGTGCCTGTCTACTATATCATTAGCTAAATCCGTAACTATTACTTCAATTACCTTTTTGTCATTATTAGGAATAGTTAGTTTTGAAATCCACTTTTTGATTGCGTCAATAAGACGTTGTGTACATTCGTCAAAGCGTTTTTCTTTTTTAGCATTTTCTATGCCATTAATGCTATCGAAAACAGAATAAATGTCTGGTCTGCCACGATCTGAATCACCTTTTACATGAAAGAAACTTTCCCGAAAGAAGAATTCTTTATAGTCTTTTAAAAGTAAATTTGTAAAATATTTAGCCTTGTATTCTGGTAGCTTCCCAGCTACTCTGAAAAGTGTTGTAATCACCTCCATGACGTATTCATCAATGTCTGTAGCATTTACAAGATCCAACAAAATATCAATTAATTCTATTTCAAGATATTCCATCCTCTTAGTGCTAATAGCCACACGAGATTTCTCCAAGAAAAATGTAATTTCATCTCTCACAAATTCTTTTATTTCCTTTATCGTCGGCTGAATGTACGTGGTAGGAAATTTAGTTTCAATATTCAATATATCGTTTACAAGATTTTCTGTGATTTTGTTCAAGTAAAATTCATTATTGTGCGTGTTTAGCACTAAAGGTAATTCATTAACCATATCTGTGATGTTAGATTTTAATATTTCTTTATATTTTAAGTCGGACTGTGGTCTATCTAATACAATAGGTTCTAATCTATCAGCTATGTACTTGAGTATGTCCTCTTTCTTCACATTTCTCCCTAAGAAATCTCTTTTCTTGATATTTAAAGTTTTAGTCCAATTTAGAATTGCCTTCCTGAAGTTCTCAACCTTAAATCTGCTGCAATATTTTGATAATTCCATTCTATAGACGTTTATATTATGACCCTCTGTAAACTGCATTTTCTTCAGTTTCCGTATAATATCATCGGGTAATTGTTTCTTATATGTCAGTTTATCATCGTCACCCTCAGAGAAGTGGTCTGGAACCTGCTTTAAATACTTTTCAATTTTATTTCTGACTTTCTCTTCACCACCAGGCTTCTTCAACTTATCAGCTAATTTCTTTAATTTATCTCCCCATAGTTTAACTTTAACTTTATCGCTATGGATTTCAAACCACTCTGTCAAATCTGGCTCAAAATCGCCGCTATGATCACCCCTTCTCTTTATGACTTCGTGCTTCTTTGTAATTTTTGTCAATTCTTCTTGCGACTTGCTCCGTATTTCACAATATTTTGTAGTTCTTATGTCAACGTTGCTGAAGGCTGTTTGTATCGATTTAATTTTAAACATTTCACAGTCTTTGTCTAGAGCTTTTGTTGTAGGATTAATCGTTTCAGCTATAGTTTTATCTCTTCGTATCTGAAAACATACATAATCTACTTGCATTTTTTTATTTTATTCGGTATTTAAATATTTATTATCGGTTAGTTAGTTGATACTCACAGTTCCTTTACAGTACGACATAGAGTTATCTGTAACATAAATATATCAATTAGTATCAAAAATTATGCTTACCAGAATAAAAGAGAATTAACAACCAAATTCTGAAATAACAATTCACAATATTGGGTGTTGTATGTTGTTGTTTATTACAATATTAAAATCCAAAACACTGTACAAAACGTAGTTACACAATAACAATAGGTACTCAATAAATTTTAACAAAATCATGATTATTTTATTATTCGAGGGAAGAAATGACGAAAGACATTACAATTTTAGATTTTGGCTCAGTCTGTCTTCACCAGATCTACATAAATGAAGATGGTAAATTATAACTAAGAATGGAATGAAGCATGAAATAACTACTACACGGATCAATAGCGTCGCGGTCGATACCGTATAGTGGATGGACAAGGTCGAAAGCTGGCTTGAAAATCCTGGTTCTGTTTGCGCGCTCTGCATATTTTTGCACGTTTTATGCACTTACACATATCCATGCTTGTGTCTGTATCGTCATAATCTATTACTCGGAAGAAGGGTACTGCATCGACCGTATGTCGCGTCGGACGATTTTTTTTCAAAGGTTTCTTTTGTTGTTTTAGCATTCTGCGCAGACCACTGCTTCGACACACATGTTCTATAGAAGTACCTGAGCAGATATGATAACTAGGACCGGTTTGGCAAGTCCGATGCTGGAAAGCACCTGGGCATATCCGCTGCTGAGGACTACCGAGGCACATTTCACCTTCAGGACCACTTGTACATGTTAAGAACGGAGGACTATCCTGCCGTTTCTGAGGCGGATCTGTGCATGTACAATTTTGTGGTGTACTGCGTCTTACTGTTTGCATTGGGGCACTATCACAGTCACAATCCGGTTCCGGTTGCTTGAGTCTTTTATGATACTCAATGGTTTTCCGTATACCTTTACTGTCTGTGGACTTGTGGAAACTTGGATGGTCATCCTTTCCCTTTTTTTTCCGGACAGCTTCGATACTTTCTGGTGCACTCGGACCTGGCTCTTTACCAGTTCCATACATCCTCCCATCACGAACAACTCCCGGTAGATGTACTTCTAAAATTTCTTCTGGCGCTTGACTCGCTGCTGATACCAGCGCGGGACTCTTTGCCGTTTGAATACTGAAATGAGTTTTCTCAAATGAGATTGAATCAGGAATATACTCATACGTCACTGTCGGAGGATATTGTTCTACATGGATTGGACTCCATATTTCTATTTCTATAGCCTGGCTAAATGGAACAAAGTCACTTTGGAGATTTTGTAGATCATTAAATGGAATTTGGTTAGAAGGAATTGGATGTTTACTGTGTAGCTGACTGCCTTGATTGTCTTGTATTAATTGAGTTTCAGGGGTAATATCGTTGGTTTGAGGTTGGGTCTTGACATTTTCCGGTGAAATTTGGCTTTCGGGAATGACGTCACCAGTTTGTAGTGGACTACTGGGATCCATTTGAAATGCAGGTTCAAAAGTTTTATTGGTAGGACTTGAATAGCCTTTTGGTGCCATTTGGTCGTATGGAATAACTTCGCTTATATCGGCAGAAGTTCCTCCAGGTCGTTCATGAGAAACCTCAGTATCTCCTATTGTTGTTAAATTTGGTTGACGTTCTTTAAACGCAGATGGGATTGGTTCAGACTGTATTTTATTTTGCCCTCCACTTTTAAAACTAGAAAGTACTGAATTACCTTGTTTGTTTGGTGGTTGTGAGCCATGGTCCAGTGAAGGAATTGTACTTACTGGGGCTGAACTAGCCGAGGGGGGCTTTAGTTCATGAAGATCTTGAGGACCTGGCCCTTCGAGGACCACAGTTGGCAATTCAGAGTACGTTTGGTCACTTGGATGCGAATCATATTGAATTTTAGGACTAACTTTAGTAGACAATCTCCAAGGTTTTTGTTCTGAAGTAACATCCTGAGGCGATGCTTCAGTATCCCTTAGGCTAACTTGTGTCGATATGTCTCGACCGGATTTGATACTTTGTTGACGAGGTGATAAAGAAGGTCTATCGAAAGGAATCACAGGTGGCATTGAGTCGCTCTGATTACTTGGTACTATTTTATCTTGATCATTTGCATAAGTTTGCTCATCAGGTTTTGATTTTCGTATTTCCTGGGGAACAGCTTGTTCTTTTGAATCTATTTTGAATTCTGATTGTGAGTCGCTAGCATTTGGTACAAATTGCTTCTGACGATCAGAATATTGTGTAACCTGAAGGCTGGCAGCTGGTACTTTGCTTTGACTTTCTAAAATCTTTGATCTATGATCTAATACTTTGGAGGTCCGTTTAATCACAGGTTCACTTTGTGGCTCTAAATAATAACTTTCATGGGGGCTGACTGCTGTTGTTTCGGATAACTTTCTAACGTCAGGTGCAGTTTCAGCATATTTATTTGGGACATTTTGGATATATGGCTCTGTGTGATCTCTCTCCTGTAGATCAACTGGTTTTTTCGACGAACCCATTTCCACTTCTGGTGCGAGATACTGACTGTTTGATACACTTTTTTTAGAAGACTCTGAAAAATGCCTTTCCTTTGGATTTACAGCTGATATTTGGGAGGTTCTTCTCGAATCGGGTATTATATTATTGGGATCATTTGAATTACTTTGGCCGTAGTGTCCTAAGGAGAAGCGACCCTGAGAGCTTAATGATGGTTTTACAAATGTTTTCATCGATATTGGTCCTATAGGACCTTTTGAAAAGTGAGGCACTAAGGGACGCCGCTCCTGGGGAGCTACGGATGTTCCTTGAGTATACCTTTTAAACTGAGGAGCTGAAATATCTGGTAAGTGTTGTGGTCCTTGATCCGGAAACGTAAAAAGTGATCCGATTGGTGCTTGATAGGGCGTTGTTGTATCATTCGGTACATCCTGAGCATAAGCGAATTGAGGTATATGTTCTGAAGTAGGCATATACGGTACTTGCCTTGATGAAAAGATATTAGCTGGAACTCCTTGGACTTGAGGTACTTGCGGCTGCGGAATACTCGGTCGAGAAACAGCCTCAATTGGTTGTTGATAAGGAGAGTTTTGAAGTAAAGGGTCTATATAAGACCCTGGAAAATATGTTGGACTTTGGGTCTCTATTGGTTCTTGTAAATTTTGGGGAATAAGTTGGCTTTGCCCGTACGGCGCTTGAGGCGCTCGCGTTGGTGGCACTGGCATCCCTCGAGAGTGCATTTGGTTTCCTCGCAACGGTGTAACTGGATGTTGATATTGTTCTTGATAATATTTTGTTATTGGCCCTCGGCATCGGCCATCCGAAAAGTTTGAGTTACAGCTATACGGATTGAGATTTACTTGACCATATGGTTGAGGTGATGGGCTAGATACAGCAACACCTGGATGCACTCCTCTTTGACCCGCCATTCGGGGTATGTACCCTCCTGGTGAGATAAACGGTGAAGTGCTTGGTTGTGAATACTGCGTTGGGTTTACATAACCTTGAACTTTGCTAACACAAGTTGGATTGAGGCAGCACGGTCCCGTACACACGTCACCTGGATTATTTGGATCAACTTGTTTTAGAGCATTTGGATGATGACCATTTTGAGCGTTAGGGTGATGTAACGGCGGTATGGCACTTTGAGCAATAGAATTATAATACTCTTGACCAAGTGGAAATTGAGCTGGAGAAACAGAAGGTAAATGGCGAGGAGAACCATAGTCATTAAGGTATTGACTTGGCGTGGTAACCACTTGACTTGGACCATTTTGAGTGTAGGCAAATGGTTCTGATTGAGTAGTTTGAGACCAATCACGGAGATCAGCTGGCGCTCGAGTAGCTTGCATAGACTGCCATTGATCGTCCAGAGGCGATGATGCATTCCTGGGCACCCAACTTCGTGGATCATCTGCATTATTTATGCCACCAAGATAATAAGAGTTACTTTGTCCAGGTGTCTCATGAAAACTGGACGCTCGTGGCACATCTCTGACAAAATCTTCATAATCTTGTGGTTCCTGGAAGGACACATATCTAGGTCTAGACTTCATGTTCTCTAGGTTCCTGATTCTATTAACTAATTCATCTATTACAAAATTGACATTAGTGTCCTCTTTGATAGGTATTCTTTCAATATATTTTGGTAATTCTGCCTTTAAATGGTCAGCAAAAGCATTTTCGTTACAATTAACATTTGCTTCTACTTCTTGAATTTTTTTAACTACTGCGTCTCTTATTCGTCTCTTGTCTAGTGGCCCCGTCGTGTCGAGGTATTGAGGAAGATCTGCAATCCAATTTTCAACTTCCATTCCTAGCAATGTCTCATCTGCCTCATCCCTTAAGGCAAGAAGATTTGGTATAGGAATCTTGTCCAAACAGTTTATAATTTCATTAGCATATCCATATGTTTCGATTCCGATAAGATCGTGTCTTTTCTTAATATTCTCCAGATAATCGTCAAGACTTTTAAGGAAATTCTTTTTATGAAAGTTAGCTTTAACATTATCTTCATCTTTATATCTCCTGTGAAGAATGTAGTAATCAGCAACATTATGTTTCTCTATTTCTTCATTTTGTTGATCTGTCTCGTTAGCAAGAGGTGGCGCCCTCGGTGAATTGTTTTCTACGCAGTCAATGACGTGCTGTTTGTACGTGCTTGATACATTAAGAGACCTAATTAGATTGTTCATTTCTAAAGTTTTTTTTAGAAGCTCATCGCTTAGTGCAGGCTTTTCTATTTCTAGTTGTTTTGATTTTGGGAGATTTTTTATCAACTTTTCTATTTCTTCATTAAACAGTTCTTTGAAATATAGTGGGTTGCCGAAGATTTTTGGATCTAATTTCATTTTTGTGATTGTTTTATATACTCCATTGTAAAGATCTAATCTAGCTTTATCTGCTGCCTGCTTTTCAGAGGGTGTATTCATTGGGATGGACACTTTTTTTACCCACTCTTTAAGGTAAGCATCGTAGTCAGCTAATATTTTTTTGATTGATGGGTGTGGAGTGGGTCTTGCTGGGCCAGGCACGATTGAAATAGATGTCTGAGCACCTTGAGGACTGTTGGTAATACCACTGGGTCCTCCAACATCAAACATTGACTGCTGTATGTCCTCATTCACAGCTGGTCTTTTCGACGGCATAGGACCATGCGCATTTGATTTGCCACCAGTATTTGAAGCCCATTTTTTATTAGAAGGTCCATATGTTTGACCAAGGCCATAACTTTGATCTCGATTGTACGCAGGCGTTCTTTCTCGAATCTTTTGATTGTCTGGACTAGTGGAATACTTGTCTTTCGCACTGGCTTGGCTCTGTGATTGATAAGAGCTGGGAAATTTTTGTGGTTGCTGTTGTCCTAGACTACTAGGACTAGCCAAATACTTGTCTTGGACACTGGCTGGACTCTGTGGTGATTGGTAAGAACTGGGAAATGTTCGTGGTTGCTGTTGATCTAGGCCAACACTTGGATCTTGACTATGAGGAAGCTGTTTCTCTTGACTTTGTAGACTATCTGGTACAGTATAATATTTGTCACTAGCACTGCTCTGATCTTGTGATGATTGGTAGCCACTAGAAGATGACTGTGGTTGCTGTAGAGGTTGTGATTGTGTTTGAGGTTTTGGACTTCGACGATAGTAATCTTGATTTATAGAGTATGATTTGTTTTGGCTTTTAACTAGACCTTGACTTTCAAGTATTTCCGGACAAGTTTCCCTAATACAGCACTGCTCAGCTGGGCATGGGACCTCCTCGCCAGCTTGAGTGCAACACGGTAATGGAGGCCTTAGCTTTCTATTGATCTCACTACAAGTGCCAGGTCCAAATTCTCCTAAACACGGCCTCATGGGATCCTGATAACATTCCGGATCAGGACATTCTACTAATGTATATTGCGGGGACCTTGGGTGGATTAGTAATGGAATAGGCACACCCCGGATTCTATCCAATAATAGTCTGGCGTTATTAATAGTTTCTTGATTATCATCTCCGACTAACTTGTTAATCCATTTGAATATTTGATACTTGAGAGCTTCTAGTTCATCTTCATCTGCAGTGTTGATTTGATTCAGTTCTAGGTATTTTAATCTGTCTATAATATCCGCTGCCAAGTCATTGACAACCACTTCTCTGATACCTGTATCTTGAATTTGTGGTATATTCAAGTTATCCAACCATTGGTTTATTTGTTGGCACAGTTGATTTGCGTAGCGGTCTAAATTCTCACGAAAATCGTCACTATTAAGACGTTCAATATTTTCATTATAATTACTCCTATTGGATGGACCTGAATTATTGTTCATATTAAGAATCATGTACGTGTGGTTAAAGTTACAGTGATTCAACACCTGCTGTAAATCTCTAAGCATCACGCTTGCAACGTACTTGGCTTGATTTTCAGTTAAGTTTGCCAGTTCTTGAAATATTATATTCATCTCATCCCTGGCATCTTCAATGTGACCGCATCGGATGCAATCAATTGCATTAATTATTATATCCACTAATTCATTTTCTAAAGCGACTAACACATGTGCGTAGGTTCTTAAACTGTATTCGTTAAAAAAATCGAACAAGTGTTCTCTAATGAAACTCCGAATATCTGCTTCAGTAAAAACTTTGTTGAATTTATTGTACGGTTTCTTCCTATACCTTTCATAATGCTGGCCCACGATAACATTTTTCATCCTTTTTATCAAAGCGTCAACAAGCTTGTGCAAATAATCAGTTCTGTTATAAGAGTTATTTACTTCTATGGGTATTTCCTGTATAACTTTCACTATGGCCGATTTTAAATCGAAATCTTGTTTAGTCCTATTTTTGAAAACTACTTTAATTTTATCTTCTAAGTCATTAAGCAGTTCTCTTCTGCCCAAAGAATCTTGGTTCACATTTTTAATATCTAGATTGTTTATCCAATCTTTGAGAACGAAGTCTAGCTGTTGGTACTCAGATATTCTGAAAGGCGTGACTTCTGATTGTAAGACTTGTTGGGTGTCACCGTAACAATGTTTGAGCTGACCTAACAGTTCTTGGTAATCACCGACATAGTCACAAACGGTCGGACTAAAGGTCGACGCGTACTTGTGACATTGCTCGCGTTTTTTATAATACCTATTCTCTTTAGTTACTCTCTCATTCTCGTTTGATTCGAATAATTTTTTGATAAGTTCATCACGAATTATTTTTTTACGTTGACTTGTTTTTGATACTTCCTCGATCAGTTCAAGGAGGTTCTTTTTCAATTCTTCTTTAGTTATCTTAATTTGTTCTTGTGATTTCGACCTTCTATTGACTACAGTTTTATGGCGACTGGATTGAAAGTCTATAGTGCTAGCGATGGTTTGTGCTGATTTCCTAGGCTTTAGCGTACTGTCGTGTGGTAGAAAACTAGTCTGAATGGACTTAATAGACATGCTTGTGTTCAGGTTTCGAACGAGGTAGCATTCACCTTCCGCATTGTCTTCAGCAGCTGACAGCGTTGGGGAATCGGGAACGGCAACCTGAAAGAAATACATTAAAGGCAAATACCACAACACTGGTAACATTTTGGAAGAGCCAAGCTTTGGCACAATTGGGTCGGCTCGACTGGAGTGATACCACGGCCTCGGCCGACCGGCGTGAAACTGCCACAGCGTTGTGTTTCGCCGTGTGAGTGAGGTTACCGGAGGCCCAATCCTCCCCCACCCCATCCCTTCCCAATCCTTAAATATATATATAACCCTTATCCCTAAAAGACCAGAAAAGCACTCATAACTCCTTTGGTGTTGCACGGATTACCATCAGGTAATCCGTTAGCTTGTTTGCCGACTTATATCATAAAAAACATAATATCGTATTTACTATGCTGGATACCTCATGTTCTGTCAGAGATGTACTTGTTAATTTTGATGATAAAATCCAAATCAAAAACCAAAAATACAGTAATCCGAATATAAAAATAAATACTTTCGTACTGCCCCATAAGGATCTACTTTTTTATGAGATAGGACGGCTAAAGAGCGGACAGAAAACCTGATGGTAACCAATCGACACGTTCGACACACAATCGTTTCCGGTCTCCGGTCTGCTGGGGATTAAGGTTTCGGATGTTTAACACGTTAACCGCCGCGGAGGTCACCAGTGACCTAAGGTAGTGGAGGATTTGCCTTAAATAGTTTTTGGCAAGCAGTCAAAGGCTTAAGTGGTAGTTAGTTTAGTTAGTGGTATCACTCCGGCCGAGCCGACCTATTCGTCTTAATTCTTGGCACTACCTTCATCATAAAGCTGAACCTCTATCGTCATTAAATGAAAACTTTTCACTTACGGTTTTTCTCGGAAATTTTTCCCGTTGCGTGGTGGCCACTTCTTTAGATATCATCTTTACTGCAGCTGGAAAAACATCAAAATAAGATGTAGACACTATACTAGCTGAAAGACGTCCACTGCTGAAGAAATGCCTCTCCTTGTTGAGAATTTTAATTTTGAGGTGGGAAATCATCTAATGACTTGTGTAGGAGTGAAAGACTTAAATCCATCCCATTCCGTCTCCTATTTCGCGAGCCGTGGCCGTAAACCCGGCTGGACATCAGCATCAGAATCTGTATCAATATTGTAATCGTAATATTAAGGCAACGGTATAAAACTAGCTACTACTTACCTTGAATCTCCATATTGACTGAATTTGAACTCTGCAACAATAATAATGGTACCTTAAGGGCTGATTTTGCAATAGTCAGAGAAATGTTATCTGAGGAATAAAATTGTTTCTGTCACTGTCTTATATAAAAATTCTGACGCGACAGCATCATAATTATTCCCCAGCTACTTTTAACTAAGTAACCATTAACAAAACAGGCGTGAAACAACAACTACGTTGTGTTTCGCCGTGTGAGTAAGGGCACCGGAAGCCCAATCCCCACCTCAACCCCTAAATCTCCAAGTCCTTAATCCACAAAAGGTCGGCAACACACTCGTAACTCCTCTGCTTTTGCGAGTGTCCATGGGCGGCACTAATTGCTTACCATCAGGTAATCCGACCAGCCACCTAAACCTTCTGATTACCATGACTTCGTCCGCTGATAATAAAATAATACCCTCAATACCTGAGAAGTCGCTCACCAAGTACCTTGCTGGCCTTGGAGAGGCTGCCAAACTTGGAGGTTAGTAAAATATGATGCTGATACAATTAATGATTTTTTAAATTACTTACATTGTGATATTCTTCTGGAATAGCTTGGTAGTTGTGGGTTTCTTTGATAGTAGGACAAGCGGGATTGCAATATGGCTGCTGAATTAACAGATAACTTTAAATAAATGAACCGAACTTTGAATTAGGTATGGGAGAACCATGCTTTGGCACGAGTGGGTTGGCTCGACCGGAGTGATACCACGGCCTCACAAAAAACCACAACGTTGTGTTTCGCCGTGTTAGTGAGGTTACCGCAGGCCCAATCCTTTCCCTCGCCCAATTCCTAAACCTCCAAATCCCTTATCCCCAAAATGTCGACAACGCACTCGTAACTCCACTGTTGCGGGTATTGATGGACGGCGCTGATTGCTTACCATTAGGTAATCCGGTAAACTGAAGTGAAGTAATCCGGTAAACTGAAGTCATTTCTGAAAATTTCTTAAGTTAAAGGCTCATCCTAACTCGTCATCATCATCATCATCATCAGATCACATACCTCCCCTCAATGACTAGATCAGCTCCAACTTACAGTGCCAAAATGACTGCTCACACTTTCCTTCCCTTTCCTAGCCAGATCCCTGAGACATCGTACTTCGTAATTCCTCATGTCACAAGAGTCTTCTCTCTTTCTTTCTCTTGTTGGGTCTTCCATTTTTCGACGGACTGTGACCTCTGGCTCGTACAGTCTGGCTCCCTTGGTGTAGGTGCCTTTAGACTCGAGGGTATGATTGGAAGAAGGGTAAGAGTCTGATGCTCGGGTAGGGGAGGCATGGTTGCGGGTTGAAGTTCTGGACACTGCAGAAGAAAAAGCTAAATTGGAGATTTAAAAAAACCCTACTCTATAGTTGGGAAAAAATATCTTAGACTGGAACATGGTGCGTTTGTCCTATGTCATAGGTGCGTAAAAACATTGACTATCTCGAACAAGAATTTGTAGATCAAACAAAGAATACTCCCATGCATCGAGACACCAATCTTGCAGTATCCTTTTCATTATATTCAGGGAGTTTTGTAGGGATATCAGAATTTTCAGTTTTTTTTTCTATTAAACTTGTAAAACATGTCGTGGTGGCCCGGAGGTTAAGGAGCCCGCTTCTCATGCATGAGGGTGTGAGTTCGAAACCTGGCAAAGTACCAATGTGACTTTCTCCGAGTTATATGTACTTTCAATGACTATGGAGGTAAACATCGTGAGGAAACCTGGACTTGTAATTTCTAATTATAAGTTTGAAATCGCCAATCCGCATTGAGCAAGCGTGGTGATTAATGCTCTAACCTTCTCTGTATGCGAAGAGGACAGCAGTGGGCACTTATAGGCTGTTGATGATGAAACTTTGCCCACACTTCTATTTTCTTCTGTGTCGTGGGTACGTTTACAAACATACAATTTCACGTACACATCACACCCAAACCCGATATTAATTATATTATGATCAGAATTTTAGATGAATAGAAAAATACGGAAATATTTTTAGATATGAATAATTATACTTACAACCCCTAACTTGATAATTGATCAGTCTCTCCATGACTTCCGAAGACTTCTCTGGTGAGAGGCAGGGGTATTTTCTTAACGAGTTGGCGAAGGCGTCCACCTCGATCGAAGGACGCGGAGAGCAGACACACCCTGGCGAAATGGATATCGTTCTAGCACATCACTCAACGAAGACATCTTGATGTGAATTACTATATTATTTTTAAAATTGTTTTATTTTTATTGTAACTTTTGTGCTAAATTAATTATTATGTTTTCGGCTTACTCACGTAATAATTTGACGAGATACTCGACTAGTTTCAAGCCATGCTAGAGGCCCATATTCATGAGCAGCATTCCGCGACACGCGAGCATGGCTTGAAAGTAGTCGAGTATCTCGTCAAATTATTACGTCAGTGAGCCGAAAACATAGTAATTAATTGTTTTATTATTGTAATGGTACAATGTATCATTACATTCTTCTACTTAACAGTATATTTATACCCAAGCGTGCCAAAATGTGCTAAATTGGACAATAGACCACCACAGATAGAGCCCAATAGGGCGATGTTCAGCCGGGGTCACAGGTTAAGCACAATTTTTTTGATGTAATAGGTCGGCAAACGAACAGTCAGATTATCTGATGGTAAGCAATCAGCACCACAGACACCCGCAACGGAGGGGTTACGAGTGCGTTGCCGACCTTTTGGTTAAGGGATTTGAAGATTTAGGGACTGGGGGAGGGGAAGGATTGGGCCTCCGGTAACCTCACTCACACGGCGAAACCCAACGCTGTGTGTGTTTCACGCTGGTTTTCAGTGAGGCCGTGGTATCACTCCGGTCGAGCCGAACCATTCGTGCCGAAGCATGGCTATCCCACTCTTAAAGTGTTGTAACGACTCTCTTTCTCTCTCTCCCAATCTGTCTCTCTCGCTCTCTCTCTGTCTCTCTCTGGCCAGCGCTGTCTGAGCTACAAGCGTGTTAATCGGGGTTTGAAATGGGAGTAGGTCCTCAGATAACGTCACTCAAAAGGACACAACACGAGGATTTTTCTTAATTCCATGGTATCAATTTCCCTTTTGAATTGGCCTATTCAGTTATTGCGAGTCAAGCATAACATACAAACATATAAACATACCAACTAAAATAAAAATAAGACTGATAAAGAAATTACCTCTATCCGGCCACGACAGACCTCCTCTAAAACTCGTGGCTGGTGAGGTCTGTTTCACACGAGGGCTGACAGCACCACTGCCAGCACCACCGACTTGGAAGTTACCGTGCCCTGGTTGAAGATAATGAAGATAATAACTATCGTGAGACATACTAATTCAATTGACGTACAAAGCTTATTAACGTATTCAGATATAGGTAAAAGCGTTTAATGATGTGCAGGATTATGCAGGCCTCTGCGCAGTTAGCTGCGGTCGCTTGTACGCATTCCAAATTACCTATACCCTGTGGTCCCATGTATACTTATAAGTGATGTATTACGTATGAGTACCTAAAATCATTAGAATCGGTTAAGTGATTTCCTAGATTTGGGACTACACCGAAAGAGTTTGCATTACCCGATTTATCGAAAGTACTTATCAATTTTTTTTTTATAAGAGCCTTCTACACAGCATCGTCTTCTCACACGGGAAAGGTTTGAGCATTAATAACTATGCTTGCTTAACATGGATTACCGATTTTCATTCAAGTTTCAACACTATGGTTTCCTTCACCGTGGTCATTGCTATTCAAACATATGTCAGTGGTACCTACATATTCATGGAAAGAACATGAAACTCGGAAAAAGGGCAGGTACCGAACACGTTATTAAATAAATTAACAAGAGTGATGAGATGAAGAATCTTATCTTTTTCTTCTCGTCCTGTGTCAGATAAAATGGAGTGTAACGAAAAATACGAATGTGGGGTTTAGAAATATAGTGTCTTCAGCATACCTGGACAGTGGTCTGGTTTTTGCGGCGGAAACTCTGTTAACTGCACCGTAGGTGACGTCGGACGGACGTTGCAATGCATCGTCTAGATGTAAACAAAACGGATTTTCTACAAATAGGTACGCAAAAAGAAGTGCTAACCTAACCTAACCTTCTTTTAATGAGGGGAAATCCTAATACTTGTTGAGGAAGCCTGGTTTTTCTTTTTGATTAAGTTAGTAGACAATTATAGTAATATACAATTACAGCAGTAGTATACAATTATAGTACGTGACACGTTGACTTAAATGTGGTCTCTTTTTATGAAATAGGTCGGCAAACGAGCTCTTGATAGTAAGCAATCATCGCCGCCCGTGGCCGGCTTCAACACCAAAGGAGCTACGAGTGCGTTGCCACCCGTTTGGGGATTATGGATTTGGGGATTAAGGGTTTGGGGAGGGATTGGACTCTGTTTTCATTACAATTACAACAATTTATATCCTATGAGATATGTAGCCATTAAATCAAACGACTTTTATAAACTGTTGGAGAGCCAAGCTTTGGCGCGAATTGGCACAAAATAAAAAAGGCCGTAGCTTGGATGGCTAATTCAACTATTAGGCTATAGACACATAGTATTAACTTGGAAAGAATAACACAGTTACTCAAATCGGTCTAACTTAAATATCAGAATACCTTTTAGACTAAAAAAAGAATTATACCTTGTACATAGTGGTATATCTTCCGTCAACAGCCTGGGCATCTTTATCGCAATGCAGCGCCGATGACTCAGTACTACTCTCGGTCGTAACACGTTGAATGGGTTGCGTCGACGCATTGGCGTTCGTTGGGGTTGAATGCTGCGTTGATGCTGGCGCGGTAGCTAAATGAGATTGGTCTTTAAGTTCAGTAATATGTATATAAAACTAGCTTCCGCCCGCTACTTCGCCTGCGTGGTATGTTGATAAACAGTAGCCTATGCCTGTGCCAAATTTCATCCAGCCGTTTTGGCATTATGGAGTACCAAACATCCAAACACCCAAACATCGTAACTTTCGCACTTATAATATTAGTAACATTGTAGGTCTGCTTAACAACCAAATGTATGTAAACTACCAAAAAAACAAGCAAAGATATGAGAACATACCTACAACTTAAAAAAAAACAAATTGAACCCAATTTGTTATTTTTTAAGTTGTCCATTAATCTCCCAATTTTTGTAACTGGTCAGAATTAAGAATCTCCCAATTTTTGTAACCGGTCAGAATTAAGAATCTCCCAATTTTTGTAACTGGTCAGAATTAAGAATCTCCCAATTTTTGTAACTGGTCAGAATTAAAAATCTCCCAATTTTTGTAACTGGTCAGAATTAAGAATCTCCCAATTTTTGTAACTGGTCAGAATTAAGAATCTCCCAATTTTTGTAATTGGTCAGAAATGAGAATCTCCCTAAAATGGTCTAAATGGTAAATGGTCTAAAACGATACATTCTACCGATTTTTTGCGCTCCAGATTTCTACATCGACAGATGCCGCTTACCTGAACCTGTTCTTTATGTCCAATAAGCTATCAGCTAAGTAGTATCACACTATTGGACATTCTAATTTTGTTGGGATGGAAATATACACCTTTTATACCATACCTCTTTCTCATCCAGAAGATTGACGCTTTATAACCAGGTTATGGTGGGCCCTCTGTTATAGCAATTGAACCGACACGTTTCATGGCAGATTAGGGACATGTGGTGAGCAAAAAACGGTAGCCTTCTAACACTTTTATTCCTGTCTGGCATTTTTGAGGATTATTTTATTATAGAGGATACACAGATTACTTAATATAACACAATCAAACAATACATAGGAACTGATGACTGCTGTCTTCCCCAAATTACAGGAAACCACACTTACTTGACAATACGAGCTAAAGCTAGTGAAGATCTACGCTAGTCTTAAAATAAAACATTGTATATACTAAATTAACTAAAAATCGCGGGTTACTCACGTATATAATATTGCGAAAAGCTCTACTAGTTTCGAACCACTGAGGGGTCCTTCCTCATGAGCAGCGTACGCGGAACATAGACGGTGAGTAACCCGCGATTTTACGTTATTTTTTTTATGTAATAGATCGGCAAACGAGCAGACGGATTACCTGATGGTAAGTAATCAGCGCCGCCCATGGACACCCGCAACGGAGGAGTTACGAGTGCGTTGCTGACCTTTTAGTGATTAGGGATTTGGAGATTTAGGGATTGGGGGTGGGGAAGGATTGGTTGTTTCACGCCGGTTTTCTGTGAAGCCTTGGTATCACTGCGGTCGAGCCGACCCGTTCGTGCCGAAGCATGGCTCTAACACACTTAATAATTTAGTATGTCTCACGATAGTTATTATAAAAACATTGTATTTCCTTACTAGAGTTGGGCAGAAGCGTGTACTGCCGGTTACCGTCGAGCAGCGTGACAGCTAGCCCAGCATCTCGTAGCCCACGCACCACCGCCACCATCCCCTCGCCAGCCATCGAACTTGCCTTATTGACCGTCTGATGGGATTTGCTGAATAGACAACAAGTCTTTTTGTTATTGGATCGTCAGATGAACTTATTTATCACCTGATGGTAAGCAATCAGCGCCACGGGACATTAAAAGCATTCCAAGTGTATTGTCTGCTTTTTGCGATTTTTTGGAAGAAGAAGTAAAACTACATATAACTGTTTTATATTTTCGATGGAGTCCGTCCATTCGTGCTAATGAATTCTTTACTAACACGTTCCTTAATTATTACGCACAGCGGAAGTCACGGTCCCGATCTGGAGCAGGAAAAGTAACAGAGTGTTTTAAGTAAGAGTCTGAGAGTCCCCCTCACCGTCTTCCTGAGTCTGAGAGGACAGAGGAACTAATTAAACATGCTTATATTATTCTTCGACGTTGGTTATTTTTTTTCAAGTAGCCTACCTTCGGCTTTGGACACCTTATGAAGGAGGAGAGGAAAGGATACTTATGCAGTATTGGTTGGAGAACTAAAAAGCTGCGTTCAGTGAAAGTGTGTATCTCCTGCAGTAGACGGTCAAAGTGATGATGAATAGGAATCTTGGAATACTTACGGACATTTTCAGTAGTCTTAAACAGGAATAACACAGATCAGGCCGATACGAAGCCTGCCAGACGTCACCGTGGGGTATTGGCCTTGGAAAAGTTAATTTCATATATTATCTACCTACATGGTTTTTAGTAGAACTTTCTCTATATTATAGAGACATATAAATATATACATAGCTTCTTTCGTAGCTTTTCGAGGATGCTCGACAAGTTTCAAGTTATGGACGGGGCTTGCGCAGCTGACATTTGCAAAGTTTTGTGAGGTGACTTTCTTGTGTAAGCAATTTTAACTTAATTTTGTATGCTGTAAGGACAGGTCTTTGCTGAATATCTTCATTAAGACCGTCGTCGGTACAATGTCTCGTTTCGCAAGCAAAGCATTAACATTCTAGAAACTATTTAAGTAATGTGATTTATCAATTTGAACCGTACCTATGTTATAATTGGGACTAATAAATCTGACTTCGGAATGAACGCTTGTTTCCATCTGTCACCTATCCTCTCGGATATACTTCAGTACTTAAAGATATAGTTAAGCCTACCTCCTTAAAAAGCAGGATCATCATCATCAGCCACTTCTGAGCAAAGGCCTCTTCTCACATGGGGAAGGCATTAATCACCACGCTTGCTCGAGGCAGCTTGGTGATTTCAATCAAACTTATAACTAGGAATTTTATGTCCAGGTTTCCTCACGATGTTTACCTTCACCGTATGTCAGTGACATTCAATACACAAGTGCAAACAACTTTGAAAAAGTGACATTGGTACTGCAAATGCTACGTGTATTAATTAAGTAGGTATATATGTATACTTACATTTCTCGCAATAATTTCAATGTGATGTAGGTAATTTATTATACAGAATGCGATTCTTCCTGAAATTTACGAATTAAATTTAATACCTATAATAATTTAGAATTTTGTATCCTTTGTCTTGTAACTGACAGAATTTTTTCTCAATGTCAAATTTATAAATATTTTCCTTTTCAATTTTAGAAATTAAAAAGTTTGTTGGAAGAGTAAGGTGGGAGAAATCTGATACGTACATTTCTGTTTCCTAGAGAAAAACCGAACGGGATACCAATTCCTGTGTCGTCAATACTCAATACTCAATATATTTAATGCAATCCACAATGTGAACTTAGATGGTAGGGTACATAAGGATGTACATACTTATATTAGTTTAGGAGCATTGTGGACCCTGTCGGGCATAACAATATTAGTATTTTTTTATGAGGAGGGCTAGTATAAATATATGTTTACAATTCGTTTTCAATTCGTCAATTCGTCGGAATGGTATTGAGGAGTTAAATTTACCATTGAGTAATATTACGCCTCGGAGAGCACGTTAAAATTTCTATTTAAGTAGGTCATTCTACAAACAAAACTAAAACCCAGAACTCCAAGGTGAAAGGTCAAAAGTTAAAGTCGAAAGAAAGTCAGTAGCTTCATAAACCTAACCATAGTTCAATCAAGAACGTAAAAGGATTTTTTGTTATGGGAGTTCAATTTAAAGTTAAGGGAAGTCGGACTGATCCAAAGTAGGCTGGCCCCTAAATAAAAAAGGACAAAGCCTATAATTTGAAGCTTATTGCCATTAATTCCATTTAAAACTCACCCACAGACAAGACTCAGTGCCGACCCTAAAATCCAAATGATAAAATGTCGGAAAAAAAGATTCCCTAATAAACTATAGCTAGTATATAAGTAATACCTTAATATAAATTGAAAAACCTAACATTACTTTTGGCGAGTTGAAAAGCTGGATTCGCGAATCACTTAATTTTGGTATTCCGTTGTCACTGCTATGACAAAAATACATTCTACATACATATAAGGGCTGAAGCTGTGAATAGGTGACTTCAATGAAGGCCAGCCGTCGTTTGAGGAGTAGGTCTGGTTGGTAGGAAGAGCCCCCTGTTGTGCATCCTGAGAGCAGGTGACAATCCCCCTAAAGGGAAAAAACATGGCATCATTTGCAACTAAGATTGCAGTGACCGTTATCCGTAGCTAACTTCTGGCTCCGCGGAGAAGCCGGTTGGGTTCTAGAGGCTCTATGCCAGCATAGAATTTAGGATTTCTGGACTTAACTGGCATGAATACGCGCGGCATATTTAATGGAACTGAGCATACTACTGTAATTTCATTCATATTTTATCTATGATCATAAAATACTCTTTTATACTTTCCTCGAAGAAAATCCAAAGAGTATACTAGAGAAAACTTCAAGAAGAAAATAACGAAATGGCGAAAAATGTCAAACAAACAACAACAAGCAATAATGTCAAACATATTTTAGTATAAATGTTAAAAAAAATACATAAATGTAATCGATAAACTGAAGAAAATTATGAATGAAGTGAAGAAATAAGTACTTAACATTGTTCTGATGGGGATGTAAAAGTGGCAATTGAGCACCATGGCACCCACAGATGAATTCATCGCTCTAGTCCATGATCTGTCTAGCGATGGACTCACTGTCACGTTAATTGATGCACCAACTAGGAAGCCCAAAGGTAAAACCTTACTTCATTTATCCTTCCAAGGTAGAAGACAGTCAATTATTTGCCAGTATTTATTTTACCAATAAGAAAGAAAGATGGTCGGATAAAGGTCTGAAGGTGTACGTAGATCTGGAAGTTGTTACGGAAAGGAATAAGGGCTGAGCAGTGTTCGTGTCTTTCTGGCTAGTTAGCTTTCATAATAATGATAATAAATTCTTTATATGATTACATCTTTAGGGTCCACCAAGCAAGTATCAAGGTTTATTAAAATCAGACACGCAATTTTATGTGTGGGAAAGCCATGCATCGGCACGAATGGTTCGGCTTGAACGGAGTGATATTATTGCCTCACAGAAAACTGTCGTGAAACAACCACAGCGTTGTGATTCACCGTGTGAGTGAGGTTTCTGGAGGCCCCTTCATTCCCCTCCTCCAATCCTTTAATCTCCAAAAGGTCAGCAACGCACTCAACTCTTCCGTTGTAGCGGCCGTCCATGGACGGAGCTGATTGCTTACCATTAGGCAATCCGTCTGCTCGTTGCCGTTCTAATAACATTTAATTTATTCCACAGAACGATCAAAATCTACAGACAATTGTAACACTCGTTCCCCATCAAGACAAGTTGACGTAAAGGCAGACATATCCAGTGACAATGAAAGCAAGAAGAAGAAGTACAGCTCTATGTGTGGAGAAGTATGTCCGAATAAAGACAGTGAACTAATACATAAGAAGCTGTCTAAGAAGGTTGATGTCCGCTACATAAACCAGATCAAGAATTTTAAAGAAAGGATCAAGTCTTCTTACGCGCTTGTAAGTTTGTTCTGCGATCAATAGCAGACAGAGTGCACGTATACACAGCAGTATCCGTTTAACTGTTTCTTTCAATTTCTTCTAGTCTTGCAATCAGCAACAATGTCCCAAAATCCGAGAGAGGCTGGCCCAACACCAACTTATACATCACCTTAATGCAAAGAAAATAGAATATGCTAGCGTCGCCCCGAGGAAGAATCGTGACAAAGCTGTAAGTTTTGTTCTTGGGTTTCAAAGGTAGATATTGTCATATTTTTGATGCATATATTCGATTGAATTTTTTTTTTTTTTCATTTTTCACCAGATCAACGTCTCTCCAACACTATCAAGAATGAGATTACCAAAGTTCACATTACCGTTCTCGCACGATGGTCGACTAGTCCAAACAGAAATCACTATGAGAGACTTCAGCCCTAGCCGATTTCCACGAAAACAAAATAACAGAATAGTCAATTTTGACAAAGAAATATCTCTTAAGAGATCCGAAACAAGAGAAGTCTTATCTAAGAGAAACTTCTATAAAGAACATTTAAAAAATGAAATACTTAATTGGCTTCATCATATACCAATGTTTTACTCTTTAAACTTTACTACCAAAGATATAAATCATAATATAGTTCATAATTTAACGGAAAAGATTAATTCCCTAGCAAGCGTAGCTCATGAACCATCCTACGAAATAAAAGTAAAGATGGAAATAGAGAACTGTTTGAATAAGCTACCCATGTGGCTGCATGGAACAAAACGAGACCAAATGTTATTCAAAGACAGCTTAAGAGATAAACTTTGGAATAAAATTCGAGGACTCAATGAAGACTTCTTAGGAGTTAGGTATGAGAAGTCAGTTGGCTTTCAAAATTTTGTAGTAAACAATGACCCAATGATAGTTTTTGAGAACGAAGTAATTGCATGGTCGCAGAAGCTCCAACTAGATCCTTCAAGAGGAGTCACTAAAAATCATGTAGTGGCCTTAATAATGAAAAGATTAACACCACTGCTGAAGATACCACTTAACACGACAAGCTACAAGCTTATTTTGAAAGGGGAAATTATAGATATTTTGGACGACACGCCACTTACTTTGACGAGCCAAAGATTTAGGACTGTATATCTTAATAGACTTGCCGAAGACCTTACCAATCGGTTACTGACAGTCCAGATAAAAAGTAAGGCATCAAAAACTAGAACTGCTGAAACTAATGTTTCAGTTTTCCATCAATGTGCCGGTCAGATTATGGGTATACCTATACCTAAAACACTCGGCAACTTGAAAGAACTTATAACAGATAGAGTTGGAGAATGCTTAGAAAAAATCAAAGTTTGCCATCGTAATGACCTCCAGACTGAAATTTGTTCTTCATTCCTAGATTCTAAAACTCGTTTACGTACAGGTGATGAAGTAAGCATCAAAGATAAAATCTGCCAGTATTTACGCGATACTGGCAGAATTTCAGGTGAAAGGACACACATTGTCGCTAATATGATAATTGAACAAGTAAAAGATATTATATATGAAACTAAACAATCGACTGCAACCAGCTTTGATTCAGTAATACCTGAACTATCAAGTACAGTTACAATATTCAGGTGGGATTTTCAAAAGAAGGGACCTGATGCACCTGTTACATCGACTCCAATCAAATCGAGTAAAAAAGAAATACCAAAACTAAGTCCTGAAGAAATATCTTACATAGATAACGTATCGAATGTAATAAGATCGTGGATGGAAACGTTACCAAAACAATATAACGAAGATCTTAATTTCAAAGAAACTATAATACACGATCTAGCTGGCGATCTCATGGATCATTTCAAAGTAGAACAGTTAGCACCAGACACGTTCCCCGATAAAGAAAAATATCAAAAATATGTATTGTACAGATGGTTATTCAAATTCAACTTTTTCGAAGATGATAATATTGCCGAAGCTGCTAAGCCACATATAGCTGATTTTCTTAACAGATTAAAGAAAGTTCCAGTACCTAACTTGACTGCATCTCATCATGGCACTCGACAAGCTATGGAATATATGAAACATATGGAGGGCGAGAGAGGCTGGGAAGAAGACTATATACCGAAAGGTATTGACGTTTTAGAAGACCAGATATCAGTATGGATAAACGAACAGCCGTCGGAAATTTATAGCAACAGAGATAAGAACAGAAGAGATAAAATGGTTCATGATTTAGCTCTTAATTTACAAGATCGTCTGCGAAATAAGAGCCCAGAATCTGAGATAGACAATGAGATTAACAGTTGGCTCAAAAAAATGTTAAAATACAAAGAAAGGGAGCACGTAGGAGTGCTATCTCAGGATTTAAAGGAAAGGATAATTCATGTACCTCAAGACCGAACTTTAGAAGCTAGACATGAGGAAAGGCAACGCTATATAGCTGCAAAGATTGCCGCAAAGAAACTAATGAAAGCTGGACCATCGGACCAAATCCCACGAGATGTGAGCAATATAGGCAACATACAGGGTGATCCTGACAGAACTATCAGAGAATTTATTCCTCTTTACATTGAACGTCATTATAATATTGATGATCCTTTAGTAATCAGTGCTTTCTCTCACTCACTGAAAACAGAATTAAGAAGACAAGACCTTTACACTAGGAAGGAAATATACGAGTTTTTTGAACAGTCAAAAGTTCATGAAAGATTTAGACCTGAAAAATATATCAATAATTTAAGCTACATAAAAATTATATCGAACTGGTTAAATGAGATTCCTATAGAACAATATTTCAATACGCCGGATAATGAAACCAGAATAGAATTTGTAAACGATCTCGCTTTGAATATTGAAGAAATTGAAGTACAAAGATATCAAAATCCAAACGCAATGGAATATAATTACCTGACAGCTTCCATGGTACTACAAACAATGCATACGTATGGTCTACCTATACTGCATGAACATAAAGATTACACTCCACTGATGGTGGAACAATTACTTCAAAGACTTGCTGAAAGACCTCCTATATCACCAAGAGAAACTCCTAGAAGTCATACAACATCACTGGGCGACGATTCATTAAGCCAATCATTAAACGCAAGTGACATAAAAGAACAGAATTTAAGCGATTTTATTGATGATTATATTCGCATAAATGGTAGGGAAATGGCTGATGATGAGATAAAACTTGAAATCTGGACCAGTAATTTGTATAAAGAAGTGAATAAAATGATTAGGAATGGAATGAATCCCTCAGCACCAAACAAAGCTCAGCTCTGTGACAAATTCGCTGACGTCCCCACACCAACAGATGACGATGTTAAGCGCTTTAATACTAAATACAGGACAGAAATCATTGATTGGATGAAAAATCTCCCAATCGTCCCAAACTTTGAACTTGAAGAAAAAAGACCCAAAATGATTTTTGAATTGTCCGAAAAAATGCGTGAAACTGACGCATTGAGACGAACGCATCCTCACGATATATGTAATGATGCGAAATTAGAAAAGTATATCGGTGATTGGATATCAAAATTACCACTAGATGAAAGCAGGCCAATCGTATTGCCAATAGTAACACAACAACTGATGAGTAGAATGGATAAAGTAAATAATATCATTCAAGAAAAATCTAGTAATAAGTCATTGCTTTCATCTTCATTAAAATCTGATTCTAACAATAGTATCATCAACTCCAAAAGTCTCAAAAAGAGTACATGTATAGATATAAATGATAGTAAACAAAATGTTTCTAGAAAGAGTAGCAAGAATTCTATATGCAGTTTATTCAAAGCTAGGAAATCTCCAGCAGAATCAATAGTTGAAGCCATTGAATCTTGGTGCAACAAGTTACCTATCAAAGATAAAGATAAAGAGGCAGTAAAAACAATGAAACAAGGCATTGCTAGGAAATTGTATCAAAAAACTGGCGAACTGAATTTAGACCCAAGAATCTTTAATGATGACCTACTTTACCGAGAGATGTTAGGTGATGAAATAGATACGCAATTAGAGAATGTTCCGCAAAATCCTGAATTGCAAAAAAATAGAGAAAACCTTAAAGAGTCGTTGTTAAACACTATTATGGAAACTAACCAAATTATCAAAGAAAAATCTAAAGGCGAAAATTATAGAAATAAATTAGAAACCACTTTAGATGCGTCGATTCCAAACCCAGTGCAAAGTACGCAAGTATTCGATCCAGGATTTGAGATGTACAAAAATCACTTAGCCGATATGTTTATTTTAGAGAACTTTGATCACGCTAATGACGATGTTAAGGCAAATTATGAGAAAAAAATAAAACAAGAAACTGATAAATATTTCGAAAGCGCACGCAACAGGAATGCTCTACCTTTGACAAAGGACCAAATTTACAACGAACTCTACAGTGCATTATTCAAAGTTCCTATGCCTAATGAAACATCAGTCATTGACGAAGTGGAACAAGTTAAAACGAGATGTGAAATAGATGGATGGTACGACATGCTTCCTGTGGAACATACAGATAATCTGATTGAACTATTAGAAAGGGACAAAATACTTTCTACACTCGCCAAGAGAGTACATGACATAGAAAAGGCGAATGATGGTAAGGTTGATGACCAAATAATTAAAGAAACACAGAAATGGCTTGAAAAACTTCCTCTGACTCCTAGGCACGAAGGACATGACGTTTACGCGAAAAAATTATTAAAAATCTTAAAATCAACAACAAAAGCAAGAAAATATGTGCCTCCTGATAAAACATGTAAAGGGAAATGTAAAGCAGGAAAAGGAAGTAAAATTAAGAAGTCTAAGAAAGCTACGCCACAACGGCAATCAAAAGCAACTCACGCTAAACCTTGCATCCAAGTTACACCTATGGTTAATAAAAAGCCAGGTGACCTCATAGTGGAAACAGTGGATGATTGGTGTAATCAACTGCCATTAAATTCAACAGAGGATCAAAATAAAGTTATTAGAGACAACATATCAACCAGAATCATAATACAAATCAGCGAATTAAACATGGACCCAGAGATTTTTAATGATGATGTGGTTTATACTGAATTATTAGATGAGGAACTTGAAGGAATAATGTCAAGTATACCTGTTAACCGTGATTTTGAAAATAGCAAACTTGCGAGAAAATATCAACTTATAACAGCGGTAATGTCAATCAAACCATTAATCAAAGAAGAAAAAGCAAGGTACGAGTACAAACAAGAACTCGATAGCACTGTAGCTAGCATATTAAAAGAACCTGAAGACACCTCAGCAGAGAAATTAGCCTTGTTCAATAAATTAAAAGAAGAAATTATAGAGGATTTTGTACAATATAAATATAACAAAAATGATGAGGAATTAAAACAGCTTTATAAGAAACAAGTTCACGATACAATTGTCAAATATTGTATACAGATAAGAGAAAAATGCATAGATGAAGAAATGGATCCATTAGTTCGACGAAACCAACTACTTTGTGAATTAGAAAAAATACCTGTACCACAAACAGCTTTATCGGAAGAAGTAGCTGAAATCAAAATGAAAAAAGAAGTGGAAGAATTACTTCGCCAACAATCAGTTCCCGAAGGAGAGACAACAAATAAAATTAAAAAACATCTCGCTAAAAGATTATGTGACCTCGAAAAATCAGGTTACACTCAACCTAACGAAAAGAAAATGAAATTAGACATTAATAGGTGCTTCAAAAAGCTAAACACAGGTATAAGTCCTAAAGATGTTGACGAGTTTATTAATAAACTGAAAAACAATGAAACGGAAAGAAAATTGCCACCACTTACCTGCAGTCAAGCTGCTGAGCTTAATTCTCCGCGACCCATGGGAACATCTGGGTCAATTTACGTCTCCCGAGACCATGTGTTAACAATAAGAAATCAAGATAGCGCAAAATCTCCTCAAAAACACATTTCTTCTCAAGTGCCTTCGCATTACGACACTGGAGAGCAATTCTTGTCTTTGCCTGAGACAGCAAATCGCATGCCTTACTCAAGTTATCAAACTCCGTCACAGCCTGGCGCAGAAAATCTAAGTAGATATCCACAAGCACCACCGCAGTTTGATCAAAGTGTAGCAGAGTCATTTTCGATAAGAAATCAAGATGACGCAAGATCTCCGCAAAAACACATTTCTTCTCAAATTCATCCGCAGTACGACACTGAAGAACAATGGGTGTCAATGCCAGAAACATTAAATCGAATGCCATATACAAGTTTTCAAAATCCTTCCTTTCCTGGAACAGAAAGTCATAGCAGGCAAGCAGCACCGCAATTCGATCAAAGCGTGGCAGAGCCAATGGACTATAGTGACTTTGAGGCTGGAAATTTCCTAAGCTCATCAGTAGCTGCTCCTAATTACTACCCTCAGACATCGAATCAAGTCCCAGGACAGTTTAATGTTTCAAGTGATCAGCCAGTTATTGGACTCAGCCAAAGATCTGTAAACCAATACTATCAGGCCCCACAACAAACTTCTAGAGACGTTATGAGAGAATCAACATCAGGTCGGATGCAATCACCGCAAAGTTTTGGACAGGTAGCCATTCCCCAGCAAGTAGCTCAGAGTCCAAGAGGCGCACACTCACCAAGCAATGCGGTATCACCGGGGAATGTAACACCAGAGTCTTTGTTCCAAGCACCGGTTTACAGACCTGTGCCATTTCAGCGACCGTTGTCTGTTCCTCCTGGTCTCGAGCCAAGTCCCATGCAGGGCCCACCTGGGTCCACCCCATCACAAAATGATCAGCGAATGCCTATGGCTGAGTCTGCCAATCCCCTGGCTGTTGGTCGTCACTGTCTAGCCATGCCTACACGTCGTCGCAGGCTGCTGGGTTACAGGGGCGATGAAGAAATTTGCATTTGTGAAAGATGTACAGAAAGAAATTGTAAAGGAATTCCTCTTTGTGTGCTGGCGATGCAAAAGTATTTCGAAGAATGTTTTGGCCTCCCCGTATGCATGCATTTTCCCGAATGTTTTCGCCAGTGAGTTTTAAGCCTATTTACCTTTAAGGTATTTTTTATAACTGGTGCAGTATTTCTTTAAGTAATTTTGTTCAAACTGTAAGCCAAATAGTAAAAGAAGTCGTTTGCCCTAAAGTTAATGCACGTGCAAGTAAAAATCTTATAAATTGATCATGAAATAAAATTATTAAACTACGTTACAGAGCCGTTTTTCTTTTATGGATGTAGGTACCTACCTAGTTAGCTGCCCAAATCAATGGCCCGAACAACAATCGTTAAATTTAAATTGGACTTTTGCCGTGATGTCCTTAATGTCCTGATGGCCCGGAGGTTAAGGAGCCCGCTTCTCATGCATGAGGGCGTGGGTTCGTAGCCTGGCAAGTACCAGTGTGAGTTTTTCCGAATAATATGTATGCACTTTCTATGATTGTTTAGACACCACTGACAAACGGTGAAGATAAACATCGTGAGGAAACCTGAGCTTATAATTTCTAATTATAAGTTTGAAATCGCCAACCCGCATTGAGCAAGCATGGTGATAAATGTTCTAACCTTCTCCGTGTTAGAAGAGGCCTTTGCTCAGCAGTGGGCAGTTATAGGATGATGATGATAATGATGCGGCTTTTGCAGCAACAGAAAGCGTAACTACACGAACACGATACTTATAGTACGGTAAAACGGGGTGAATAGAATACGAGGGGTGAATAAAGGCAGTAGAAGGGTAAATAGGTACTAACAAAAGCTTTTGTGTACCTATCCAAATGCTATTTACCCCGTTATACAGTCCTAAACCATAGTATCCCAAACACAATGCTTAAATTCTTTTCGCTTAGTACCTACTAAAATTGTTATAAAATAAAATAATAACAGAAGGCTTTATAACAGGAATCTATATCTATAACAGGCTTTATAACTAAATAATAATAACAGGAAGCTTAATATCTACACACGATACTTAGTAGTACGGTAAAACGGGGTGAATAGAGGCAGAAGAAGGGTGCTAGGCCTTAGTGGCGGAATGGCAGACGCGTTTAGCGCAACCCACGGCGGGGCACGCCGCTATAGCGGCTGTAAGACCCTTTCTAGAGGACTGGCTCAATAGGAGCCACGGCGCCCTCAGTTGCCGGCTGACGCAGGTGCTTACTGGACACGGGTGTTTCGGAAAGTACCTGTGTCGCATAGGTCGGGAGCCGACGTCTCAGTGCCACCATTGTGGTGATTGCCGCGACGATACGGCGCTGCATACCTTGGTGGAGTGCCCAGCTTGGGCCGAGCAGCGCCGTGACCTGGTCGCGGCGGTAGGTGCTGCGGGAAATCTCTCGCTTCCGGCTGTATTGTCTACTATGGTCGGGAGCGAGTCAGGGTGGAGTGCCGTCGCTACCTTCAGCGAGGCCGTGATGCTCGCAAAGGAGGCGGCGGAAAGGGAGAGAGAGGCTGCCTCCTCTCTCCCCTCCCGCAGCAGACGCACTAGACGTCGTAGGGTGGCCGACCTGCGACCACCGTAGGGTGCGGCCTGCAGACGACAGACTCGGGGCGTCTTGTCGTCCGACTAGCACCAGGCAGGCCTCAAGGCGGCGGCGCCGTGTTCCGCGCGCGCCTCATAATGGAGTCCTGCGGTCGGTGTGACGGCCGCAGTGGGTGACGGGGCCCACCTAACCATCGTGCGGGCCAATACCCGTCGGGGGGATGCGACGAATGCTTCGGCGATACCCGCCCCTCCGACACATGAGTAAGTGGAAGAACACCGGGTTGGTTTTTAGTCAGTATGAGTCTGACAGTATACCCTTCGCCCTTCCCCGAGGGTGGTGGGTCTCCATGAGGATTTTCCAACCCGACACGAAAAAAAAAAGGCAGAAGAAGGGTAATAGATACTAATAAAAGCTTTTGTGTACCAATCCAAATTCTATTTGTAGGTACCCCGTTTTACGGTCCTAAACCATACTATCCTAAACACAGTGCTTAAATTCTCTTTGCTTAGAACTTACGTTGTGAAAAAGATATATTTCTTGGATATTCATAACTTACGTAATATTTAATTACACACTCAGAATAGTTTATTATAATCCTTATAAAATAATATAATACTGTTTTTAATCATTTCTTACATTCATTTTCAACTATTTTAATAAAAAAAGAAAAAAAAAAAAACGTTGAAATACGCGGGAATTAAAAGTCTCGAAACGGTCGTGTTTATGCGCTCGTCACGTAGTCTATGGTAGTCACCACGATTAGTTTTTGCTACCATTCGTATTTTATTTGTTGTAAACAAATTTTATCTCTTTATTATTTAACAAAAATAATTTAATTGTACATAGAAAATATAAGCATGCATTATACAATATAAAACCATTAAACAAATAAACTTGAAAATCAAAACGCTCCAGGAAGTATGACAACATTCCAAAGCAATGCTGCAAAAGAATTAAAAAGTTAGTTAGACGCCATGACAGGTCACGTGATGTAAATTTTCGTCGGACATGCGCGATATCGCTGAATTTTTCAAGTGATTTTGAAATGGTGAGATATTTGTCTTGTGAAAATACTATTTAAAATTAGTAACAAAGATCCTATTTAGCTATTTTTAGTGTTAAATTACTTGTGAACCGCGAACTGTGCTTGTGATGAGTTGATTAGTGTTGATCAAGGAAGTTTTTGTTTCCAAAGGTCGTACCTATACATGGTAATGATACCTTTTTATGATATTTTTGCGTCGAAATAGTGTCCCAGTGCTTTGTTTAACTAGCGATCGAGTTACTTCAGGTTACAAGTATGTATTTACACATTTATTTCCGTTGTATTGTGGTTTTGAGAGGTTGCAACGGTCACCAGACGGGTTTGCTATAGTCTAAAATGACAGTTGCTTTGTCAGATACCTTGCAGATTTCGATATTTCTTGCGAGAAGCCTTCAATAATCAACTTTTTGTACTCTCTCATTATGATACAAACTTTCATCTGTGCGATATTTGTACTAAAAATCGAGTAATATGCAATTGTATGTGACATATTTTTTTCCTGTTGCCAATTTTTTATTCAAGGGTATTCCAAGTTGAATTATAAACATGAAGGATCGTAGTGAAGACGGTCGCGATGGATGACATCATAACAAGTAGTCGTACAATGTCGAGGAAAAGATTTCGCATGCAAACTACACAAACTAACAATCGAATTTTATTACTAAGACAGTAATGAGTCAGAATCATCAATGGTGTCCAAAATTATGTCATGGCACGAATTAATTACATAGCTGGCACATTGAAGACTCACAACCTGGCCATTTGTGCCCAAATTGAGCTTTTAATTCAATTATTTCGAAAATAGGTCAAATAACTTTCTACAAACTGTTGTGTTTCGTCATTATTCTCATATAATTTCTAAAAGTACTTGGAACCTTAGAAATGTGTCTTGTATTATCCAAGATGTAAGCTTATATTATTTCCAATTTCTTAACATAACCTCAACAGAACATATTAATATTCAGAAGTATTTTTAAATTTTGTAATACAGCATTTTATATTTCATTCATCTTAAACATGATGTGTGTAGTCTAAATTAAAACTTGAAATTCTAATAAGAAAGGCCAGATGTAAGTAGTCTCTAGCGTACAGTATTATTTTTATTGCACTCTAGATACCTTTGCAATATGATAAGCTTAGCATTATTGTTGTTATTATGTATAATTCTCTACCAATAATAGGACCTCAGGATCCCAGTCATTTGGGTAGAGGGCCCAGAGCCAATTGCATAGAGGCCTTTTTTAGACAACTTTAATGAAAATGAAACGGGACACAAACCAGTTATTATAAAAAAGTAGACAGAAAAGGTAATTCTTATGCACATGTCTTAAAAAGTATCATAAAAATAGACACAATATGATCTAACAAATCCAGAATCCATTAAAATCCATTCAGTAGTTTTATCTGCAAGAGTAATGAACATCCTTAACTTTAACATTTATAATAGTTTAAGTAAAAATAGTATATGTATTTTGAGTGTATTACAATAAAAATATATTGATTATGTTGTGAAAAATGTATGTATTTTACTTACTAATTAATATAACTTACAATCAAAATACAGTTTTAATATTTTTACCAAGAAGTATTGAATGTATTTGATGCAACCTTGACATTTCTATGTAAGCAATTTGACCATGGTTTTAAGAAAACTAATTAAATATAACCTCAGTTTAGTTTCTGCTGACTAACATCTATAGTATCCTAGAAGAGGTTAGCAGCTCCATGCTTAGTTATTGTAACAAATAATATAATATTTAAGTAAAATATACCACATAGTCAAAATCAAATCGTTTATTTAAAATAAACTACAACAACCGCTTTTGAATGAAAGCAATTAAAAAATATATCAAAAGGTTTAACTTAATGTGTGTCAGTCTGTCCTCCTGTCCTCTAGTGAAGCTATTCGCTCATTCCAAAGTGTAGATTGCTATGGAGAAGAACGAGCAAGAAACACACTTAAAAAAAACTAACACTAGGTTTCCGAAAGCCTGATCAATGTTAAAATCAATTTAATCTCTTGTCAAGTCATCTGATTGGTTGACTGAATTATCAACAACCAATCAGATGACTTGACAAGAGATTTGACACCTAGTTAGTTGATTTTAACATTGATTGGGCTTTCGGAAACCGGGCATTAGGCTTATTTTTGAAACAATATTTATTTTTTAGCTGTTAGTAGAAGGGATTCAGAATCTTTTACATAAAGAGCCTAATATTTGCTTGCAATTTCGGATAAAAAATTTTTTACTTCTTTTCTGCCATTTTACAAATTTGTTTTAGGGTTGGCACTAAGTCTTACTTTGTATTCAGTTCACAGTTTAAGTTTGCTTGACCGTAAATGCTATATTATTATTCTTAAATAACAAAAATGCCTCTTTAAATATTAAGTTCTTAATTTAAATTGAATATGTTCTCAGTTTTAGCATGGAACTCAGATTAAAACCTATTTATTCCAATAAGAATATTTACAATAATTAAAAACAGTTTTCCATGCTATTCTACCTAACCTAATCAATGTAAACAGTTGCGAAATTATGAAACAGTATGATAATTTTATAAAAAATTGTTTATGACTTTATCAAAATTTTATCTCTAAAGATAATATTACTAAGAATGTTTTATTATTTTGATAATGACATAGTTTGAGCACACATGTTTATTATGTGTAAATGTACTTTCTGAATAACCAGTTAATTTTGACACATTATGTCATACTCAGAGATATGTACTTAATGACTACTTAAAGCATTCCTTAGTAATGAAAAAAATGCAAAGGACTAAGTTAGTTAACCATTAAATGGCTTTTGTATAACAGTTAGATTATTTCTGTACCTTTGCTCCACAAAACTAGCTAGTAACTAGATTGATTTAATTTTTATAGCAAGAGTTAGTAACCATCTGAAAACAAAGATAGATACAGTGTGTGACAGAGAAAAACTTTTTAATAAAAATAGAATGATGTCTGATAGGAAAGAATAGAAGAAAGATATATTGTGCCAACCCAGATTTGTTTAGTACAACAGCAACAAGAAGAGTAATTTGCAAGGTCATATTTTTTATAGAAACTCCATATTCCTATATTGTATAAAGATTATCAAAATTAATACAACAATTTGGGTACAAAGAGTGTATGAAACAAACAAACCTTCATATATATTCACATTTTTTTATATATTTTCTTACAATGATCTCAATGATTTGGCCATGAGTGGTACAGACAGTTTTGCATATTATTTATAGGTATGTATAGATATGGAGACAAGGTTTCATTGAGTTGCTATAGAATTGAATGTGTGTTATGTAGGTTGATAGCTAAGGTAATGGTGACTAAGCTATATAGTAGCCTTGCTGATCTTGTTATTAAACTCGATTTTTCGCTCTCATATCTTGATAGCCCGGAGGTTAAGGCGCCAACTTCTCTTGTATGAAGTAAATGTTCAAAAATCTGCCACTTACTAATGTGACTTTTTCTTAGTTATATATGTACTTTGTAAGTTTATTTAGACCCACTAACTTACAAAAAGGAAAACAATGTTAGGAACTCTTTTTATGGAAAATGGAGGTAAAAGTAAATTCGCTTAGTGACTGTCTGATTCTTATTTTCTAAAATCCACCAAATTCCTGCTCCAGGCTGAGGCTGGTTGGAAAACCTGGACATAAAATGCCTAATTATGAGTTTGAAATCGCCAATCTGCCTTAAGCTATCATGTTGGTTAATGCTCACATCTTTTCCGTGTGAGAAGAGAACTTTGCTCAGCAGTGGGCGCTTATAGACTGATGATGTGAAGGTTGTTTTAACATTATAATTATACATTTATTTACGCTTGAATTAGTCAGTTTATCTAAAAGGGTATTACAATATTTTATCTCGCTTTTTGATAAAAGAGTTTTGCAATATTTTCCTTCCCAAAAAAGCATGTTGGAATTATGTTTAAAAATGATAATATTTACATTTTATATTGATAAACTCTGTCCCTTATAAGTATTATCTTGCGTGATATAACTGATTTGTTGTAGCGTATAGCGTCTGTAGGGAGGCCCCCCATAACGGTAGTGCTTAAAAATTTGATACTAAACTTGTAGAGCCAATAGACCACCACAGACGAGGCCCTATAGGGCTGATGTTCAGCCGTGGTTGCGGGGTAAGCGCAATAATACACCGCGCAGGAGAAGGAACGGGGGGTTTTTAGTCAGTAAGAGTCCGAGATCCCCACACTCCCAGAAGAAGTAATTTGATGATTTTCCCCTCACAAAAATACCTATCATATTCAATTTATTGAAGTATCACCCATTACTACATACTTCTTAAGGGTGACCTTTTCTACATCGCGGCAGTTGTTTTTTTTGCCATCGTAAGGTAAATGCCTATTGAATAATGCAAGCTATAAAGAAAACAACTTGATTTACTAACAATAACTAATACTTGAGCTTAGTCATCTGACCTGTTGACCTGGTTGTGAATGAGGTAGACTTATAGACCTAGAGTTAGGTGTATCGCGCGGTTATACCTACTGTCGTTTTAATTTGTTTTTTAATAAGATTCATACATTCATTTGTTGTGCTGGATAGGTATTTATAGATACCGTATTTAAGCTTAGTTATTTTATTTAAGCTGATGAGCGTGTGCCATGCTTCGGCACAAATGGATCGGCTCGACCGGAGTGATACCACTGTCTCGTTTTTTTTACCTTATTGCAACTAGTGCTTGACTGCGATCCCACCTGGTGGTAAGCAGTGATGCAATCGTTGATGGTAAGGCGCACTAGTTTATTAAGAGCCTATTCACTCTAGCCTTGAAGACACCTAAATTATACTTAGTCGGGTCATAAGTTCTGTCACAAACTTTTGATGTAATAACTTATACGCCTTTTGACAATTATTTAAAAATTATATATGAAATGAAAGGTCATTAAATGTACAATATAATTTTATTTACATTATTCGAAATGCCCTCCCCCATTTTGAACACATGCCCTTAATCTACGCGGCCAGTCATCGATCGCTGCACGCACCACATTCATATCTATGTCTGCCGCTGCTTTAACCAGAGATGCTCGGAGAGACTCCAAATTCGGGTGAGGTTTAGCACAGACTTTTTCCTCCAAATATTGCCATATCTTGTAGTCCAGTGGGTTTAAATCTGGACTAGAAGAGGGCCAGTCTTCATGCCGGATGAAGTCAATTCCACGAGCGATCAACCAGTCTTGCGTACTTCGTGCCTTATGAGCCGGTGCAGAGTCCTGTTGGAAT